TTTCCCCTCCCCCCTGTTTTTATTCCTTGTTAAATGTGCAAGAGCTTTCCTGGATTGATCTTGGAGTTTGACAGTTCTGGCATTAAAAGTTCTTCCTTATCTATGAATTAATGAGCTGCTCATGGAATTAAGTGATGATTTTTGGAGGGTGTGTTTTATATTCAGATTTGCTTAGATCAGTGTAGCCCTAAAATCCAATTTTAAATTGGATGGGAAGAGTTTCAAACCTTCCTGGCCAAATTTTATTATTTTTTTTTGTGGTGAATCCCAGGACAGCTGTGAGAAATAATCCTTTAATTTATCAGAGGGGGAAGCTGGGAATTCTGCATCAGGATTCTGCCTTTCTTAGGTGGAAAAATGTATTTGTGAATGATTTAATTGCTGCTTGGGAATTTTTCCCAGCGAACTTCCTGAGCCCCATGTGGCTCTGCCTGACCAGGGGAATCCTGGAAACCTCAAATCCTTCTTGCTGTGGGGTTTTGGAGAGGTTTCCCCCCCAAATTTCCTAAAAATTTCAAGAAAATTTCCAATTCTGCAGCCATGGGCTGAGTGCTCGTGAGCAGGAGCATCCCTGAGCAGCAGGGATTGAAACCTGGATGCAGTGCTCCTAACCCTCTGGAATTCTGCTCTCTGGGATCCGTGGCAGCAGGGGTTGAAACCTGGGTGCAGTGCTCCTAAACCTCTGGAATTCTGCTCTCTGGGATCCGTGGCAGCAGGGGTTGAAACCTGGATGCAGTGCTCCTAAACCTCTGGAATTCTGCTCTCTGGGATCCGTGGCAGCAGGGATTGAAACCTGGGTGCAGTGCTCCTAACCCTCTGGAATTCTGCTCTCTGGGATCCGTGGCATCAGGGATTGAAACCTGGGTGCAGTGCTCCTAACCCTCTGGAATTCTGCTCTCTGGGATCCGTGCATTAGGGATTGAAACCTAGGTGAGCTGCTCCTAACCCTCTGGAATTCTGCTCTCTGGGATCTGTGGCAGCAGGGTTGAAACCTGGGTGAGCTGCTCCTAACCCTCATGGCAAACAGGAGATTCCCTGGAAAGCTGGCAGTGGAAGGGTAGGAATCCACCTCTGGAGTGAGAGCAGGAGGTGGTTCCATCCACTCCCCGTCTCTGGGATGTGCCTGTGCCCTGAAGGCTCACAAGGAAAATAAAACTCAGCCCAGGCACTTTCCCACCCCCTCCTTGGGTAATTTCCTCCTCCACGCTTGCAGAGGGATGTCAGGGAGAGAGGAGCAGGAGTTCTGCTCTCCAGGGGAATTGGGGATAATCCCGGTGTGCCTGCAGGTGAGGTTTGAGTCTCCGTTTAACCAGAGCAGCAGCACAAACAGGGACAGATTCCCAGGGATGTTTTGGATTCCGTTTCCATGGCTGAGCTGCAGACAGAGCCCTGCTGAGCTCTCATCCCCTGGGAAAGCCAGGCTGGGTTTTGGGATGATTTCACTTCTCTTCCTCCGTCCTTTTGCTGTGAGCAGGGGACAGGAGGTGTCCTTGTCATTCTCCTGTGGGAAGGGGCTCCTGGAGGAGCTGGGAGCCCCTTGGAGCAGGGAAGCCAAATCCCTGGGAGTGATCCCAGAGCTCCTGCAGCCCGGGAAGCCAGGCTGGGCTCCCCAGCTGCCTGTGCTGGATCTGCTGGACAAACTGGGGGGCACTGGGGGCTTGGGCAGACCCCGGTACCCGGGGCAGCATCCCCTCTGTTGCCAGGCAACTGCTGGATGTGCAGCTGGCTGGGGCTGCTGCAGATGTGGCCACATCTGGCAGGGGAGCAGGGAGAAATCCCTGTCCCATCCCGAGCCTGCTCCTGTCCCACACCTCGGGATAAGCTGAGCTTTACCAGGCCCAGCCCATGGAATCCCTCCTTAGGGTTTAGGGTGGCATTAAAAGCAGTTTTGACTGGTAAAATGTTCAGCTCTGATTTTCATTCCATGAAAATGGGAAGGTTTAGGTTGGGAATATTGCTTTCCTGGTAATAATTTGGATTTTGTGTCCTTCCTTAGCCAAGCCACAGGGATGTGGGCAGTCAGGTTCGGTATTCCTGGGAATGCAGGTGGCCAAGGAAAGTTGGAGTCCTGCAGGTTTGTGAGGTCACATGGGGGTCAGAGGAGTTCTGGTGTTAATTAGGAAGATTTAATCACATAGCCAGGATGCAGCTGGACTCTGGAATTCCAACTCTGCTGAATCAGTCAAAGAGCTGCGTGAGAAACTGGACAGCTCCTCTGCTTTTCTTTGGGAATTTCCATGCCCAGGTTATTCCTGTCCTGCTGAGGATTAGGACACTTCATCCGTGATGAGCCTGAGGAGTGCCAGAGGATTAAGGAGCAGCTCAGGACTCCGCTGAGCCGGATTTACAGCAAGTGCCCATTTGGGAATGAAGGGCTTTGACCTCCTGGAACGAGGCCAGAAGGGCTGGGAGAGCTGGGAATGTTCCCCTGGAGAAGGGAAGGCTCCAGGCAGAGCTCAGAGCCCCTGGCAGGGCCTGGAGGGGCTCCAGGAGAGCTGCAGAGGGACTGGGGACAAGGCATGGAGGGACAGGAGCCAGGGAATGGCTCCCACTGCCAGAGGGCAGGGATGGGTGGGAGATTGGGAACTGGGAATTCCTGGCTGGGCTGGAATTGCCAGAGCAGCTGGGGCTGCCCCTGGATCCCTGGAGTGTCCAAGGCCAGGCTGGAACATCCCGGGATGGTGGGAGGTGTCCGTGGGGCTAGAATGGGATAATCCTTAATGTCCCTTCCCCCCCAAACCAGTCTGGAATTCTGTGATTCTGCAAAATTCTGCTGAGTTTCTTCTGAACACACTTTCATTTCCTACACCCTGTTGCAATTTCCACATTTTCAGCCCGTGAAAGAGTCAGAAATTTCCCCAAGTTTCACTAAAGAATTAAATTCCCAGCTCCGGTGGGAAAATACAGCTCAAGAATAGGGACTTTTGCCATATCCATGTTTACCTTGCAGGGATATTGGGAAAGGGAATGAGGAGGTTTTCAGGGAGCAGTGATGGATTCTGTGTCTCTGAGCCTCAAAAAATTCAGGTCATTCTAGGCATGGCCTGGCTGTGGGGGAAAAAATCCTGAACAATTGGTTTATATCCACAGAAAATTGGGATTTTTAATCCAGGGAAAAGGCAAATGAAGGACTGGAGTCTGGAATTTCATTCACTTGGATTTGCAGCCTCCATAATTCCCCCCCAGCACTGTGTGGGGTCAGTCCCAGGAAATGCTGGCAGTTCCTCAGTTTGCCTCCTGTTTCCTACCCCAAATCCTGCTTTTCCTGCTCCCAGCCCTGCAGGCTTTGGGACAGGAATTTCCCTCTGCCTTGCTGCAGGATAATGGGTTAAAATTTGGTTTATTCCAGGAATTGTCAGCTCAGAACCTCAGGATTTTTCCCTTCCTCCTCTTCCTGCAAGCCTTCTTAGGCTGAATTTCAGTTAAAGTAAATCTTATTTTTTGGGGAACATTCTTGCTTTTGGAGGTTTGGAGGAGGGGGTTTTATGGAATCACAGAATCCTGGGATGTTTTGGGGTAGAAGTGACCTTAAAGCTCATCCCATTCCATGGGCAGGGATTCCTTCCCCTATCCCTGATTGCTCCAGGCCCTTCCAGCCTTGGACATTCCTGGGATGGAGCATCCACAGTTTTGGTGGGAAATTTGGTTTTTTCATCCTCATTATTTCCCTCTAATGAAACTGTTCCCCGTGACTGCTGTGGAAATGGATTGTGTTACCCTGGAACAGCAATTCCTGGAATTTTAAAGCAGCATCCTGGGAATCCCTCAGCAGGCAGAGCTATTGGTTGATATTTAGGACAGATGGAAATTGTTATTAATGAGGAGTCCATGCAGAAATGCTGCAAGAATAATTAAATCATTTATTTAATTTATTTAAATCATTCCAGCTCTTCCATCCCTTTGGCTCAGATGAAAATGAATTAAAATGGGATGGAAAATGGGAAGATCCCACTTGGGAATGAGGAGCTGAGGTGGGGAGGATAAGGAAGTTAAAATGTGCATAAAACTGAGGAGGGATTTTTAGTTATAAGAAATTTCTTTATGTTTTAGGAAATACGGAAAAGTGATGGGATTTTCTTCTCTTTTTCTATTCCAGGCACTTGGAGGATTATCCAGTGGTTCAGTGCTGAGGGAATTCTGTGGGAGCATGGCTGGAGCAGGACACGGAGCCTGGGCACAGAATGCAGGCAGTGATGGTGAGCGGGGGTCATTAATTACAGAGCTCTAATTACTGATGGCAGCCACAGGGGTGAGCAAGGGATTCTGGAATGGTTTGGATGGGAAGGGACCTGAAATCCCATCCCAATCCACCTAGGGACACCTCCCATTGTCCCAGGGTGTTCCAGCCTGGCCTTGGGCACTGCCAGGGATCCAGGTCAGTCACAGATGCTCTGGGAATTCCAGCCCAGCCAGGAATTCCCAGTTCCCAATCTCCCATCCATCCCTGCCCTCTGGCAGTGGGAGCCATTCCCTGGGTCCTGTCCCTCCATCCTTGTCCCCAGTCCCTCTCCAGCTCTCCTGGAGCCCCTTCAGGCCCTGCCAGGGGCTCTGAGCTCTGCCTGGAGCCTTCCCTTCTCCAGGGGAACATTCCCAGCTCTGCCAGCCCGGCTCCACCCTTTGGAGAACTGGGTATGGAGGCCTCACCTTTAGCTTTGTTTTCCAAATTCAGGCAGGAGCCCAAACCCTGGATCAGTGACTCTGGTGCCTTTTCCAAGGAATCTTTGGCGCTCGCGAGGCGCAGTCCGAGATATTCTGGCAGGATAAAAACCTCATGGTTGATAAATCTAAAACCATCATTTGAGGCAAATATGACCCTGAATATTTCAGTGTCAGCATTCAGCTGAGGGATGACTATCCATGAATCCACGAGGCTCTGCTGCTGCTTTTCCCCTGCCTGCAGCGCGCTGCTCCTGCCCGCCCTCCCGGTGGCTCCGTGCCGCGGCGCTGTGACCCCGCCGTGCTCCCGCCGTCGCCGAGCTCCGGAGCGGGCGCCAGGAGCCATGAGGAGGTTTGGCTACTGCCGGGTGGTGCTGGCCACCTCGCTGCTCTGGGTGCTGCTGGACGTGTTCCTGCTGCTCTACTTCAGCGAGTGCAACAAGTGTGAGGACAGCAAGGAGCGCTCCCTGCTGCCCGCCCTGCGCGGTGAGTGCCGCTCTGTAACCCTGAGGTTTTGTGAAAAATCCCCTGCTAGGATTTTTTTTCCCTCCTGAAGGAGCTGAGGGCCTCAGGAAAGAAATGTGGACAATAACTGTGCGCTGCTGTGGGATGCAACGGGTGCATCTTCCATTGCTCCATGTGGATTGTTTTCAGTTGGTGGCCAACCACAGCCACCTGGGAGCAGTCACAGGATTTTGTTATGCATTCTATTTTATCCTGGTTCTTTCAAGCCTTCTCATGATCTCTTCTCTCTGTTCTTTTAGTATAGTTTTTATGTAGTATATTAATATAATACGTATCATGAGATAATAAACCAGCATTCTGAAAATGGAGCCAAGCCTCGTCTCTCCACACGTGGGGAGTTCCCAGCGCCGCTCCAGCCCCTCCCGGCTGATCCACTCATGGTTTGCCGGTGTTTGGCCTCGTGCTGCTGCCTCAAAATGGCTTTTCCCAGCAGAGGAAGTCCCAGGATCTACAGGGTTTAGCGCTGCTTTGGTGTTGTCTCAGTTTGTGTTTGTGTTTTGTGGGATTTTTGGGGTTAAAATGGACCTTAAATCCCATTCCAGCAGGAGAGAAACCTCCCACTAGCCCAGGCTGCTCCAAGCTCCATCCAGCCTGGCCTGGGACATTCCAGGGATCCAGGGACAGCCACAGCTTCTCTGTGAGGGTGCCCAGAGAGGCTGTGGATACCCCTGGATCTGTGGAAGTATCCAAGGCCAGCTTGGATGGGGCTTGGAGTTGTCTGGGATAGTGGAAGGGAACAAACCCAGGGGCTTCAATAACCTTGGAATAAAACTGGATGTTCTTGGATCCAGAGAGGGATGAAAGCTCCCAGTGGAGCAAGGAGAATGGGGGTTGGATTTCCAGCATTCCCTGTGGAAAACCAGCGGCTTCCCTAAGGACAAATCCAATTCCCAAGTGCTCAAAGCACCTTTTGCCGTTGGGTTTTCCAGCCGTTATTTCCCGGAACCAGGAGGGCCCGGGGGAGATGGGCAGGGCCGTGCTCATCCCCAAGGAGGAGCAGGAGAAGATGAAGGAGCTGTTCAAGATCAACCAGTTCAACCTGCTGGCCAGCGACCGCATTGCGCTGAACCGCAGCCTGCCCGACGTGCGGCTGGACGGGTGAGAGCCAGCCTGGGAGCGGGCTGGATCCGTCCTGGGCTGGGAACGGGCTGGATCCGTCCTGGGCTGGGAACGGGCTGGATCCGTCCTGGGCTGGGAACGGGCTGGATCCGTCCTGGGCTGGGAACGGGCTGGATCCGTCCTGGGCTGGGAACGGGCTGGATCCGTCCTGGGCTGGGAACGGGCTGGATCCGTCCTGGGCTGGGAACGGGCTGGATCCGTCCTGGGCTGGGAACGGGCTGGATCCGTCCTGGGCTGGGAACGGGCTGGATCCGTCCTGGGCTGGGAACGGGCTGGATCCGTCCTGGGCTGGGAACGGGCTGGATCCGTCCTGGGCTGGGAACGGGCTGGATCCGTCCTGGGCTGGGAACGGGCTGGATCCGTCCTGGGCTGGGAACGGGCTGGATCCGTCCTGGGCTGGGAACGGGCTGGATCCGTCCTGGGCTGGGAACGGGCTGGATCCGTCCTGGGCTGGGAACGGGCTGGATCCGTCCTGGGCTGGGAACGGGCTGGATCCGTCCTGGGCTGGGAACGGGCTGGATCCGTCCTGGGCTGGGAACGGGCTGGATCCGTCCTGGGCTGGGAACGGGCTGGATCCGTCCTGGGCTGGGAACGGGCTGGATCCGTCCTGGGCTGGGAACGGGCTGGATCCGTCCTGGGCTGGGAACGGGCTGGATCCGTCCTGGGCTGGGAACGGGCTGGATCCGTCCTGGGCTGGGAACGGGCTGGATCCGTCCTGGGCTGGGAACGGGCTGGATCCGTCCTGGGCTGGGAACGGGCTGGATCCGTCCTGGGCTGGGAACGGGCTGGATCCGTCCTGGGCTGGGAACGGGCTGGATCCGTCCTGGGCTGGGAACGGGCTGGATCCGTCCTGGGCTGGGAACGGGCTGGATCCGTCCTGGGCTGGGAACGGGCTGGATCCGTCCTGGGCTGGGAACGGGCTGGATCCGTCCTGGGCTGGGAACGGGCTGGATCCGTCCTGGGCTGGGAACGGGCTGGATCCGTCCTGGGCTGGGAACGGGCTGGATCCGTCCTGGGCTGGGAACGGGCTGGATCCGTCCTGGGCTGGGAACGGGCTGGATCCGTCCTGGGCTGGGAACGGGCTGGATCCGTCCTGGGCTGGGAACGGGCTGGATCCGTCCTGGGCTGGGAACGGGCTGGATCCGTCCTGGGCTGGGAACGGGCTGGATCCGTCCTGGGCTGGGAACGGGCTGGATCCGTCCTGGGCTGGGAACGGGCTGGATCCGTCCTGGGCTGGGAACGGGCTGGATCCGTCCTGGGCTGGGAACGGGCTGGATCCGTCCTGGGCTGGGAACGGGCTGGATCCATCCTGGGATGGGAATGGGCTGGATCCATCCTGCGATGGGATGGGAATGGGGATGGATCCATCCTGGGATGGGATGGGAATGGGCTGGATCCATCCTGGGATGGGAATGGGCTGGATCCATCCTGGGATGGGAATGGGCTGGATCCATCCTGGGCTGGGATGGGATGGGATGGGAGCGGGCTGGATCCATCCTGGGATGGGAACGGGGCTGGATCTATCCTGGGCTGGGAACGGGGCTGGATCCGTCCTGGGATGGGATGGGGGCTGAAATCCTGGGGTGGGGGCTGAAATTCCATCCTGGGAATGGGCTGGGGGCTGAAATGCCATCCTGGGAATGGGGGCTGAGGAGAGCTGGGGGCTGAAATCCCATCCATCCCAGCCCTGCTGTGGGCAGGGACCCCTCCCACCATCCCAGAGTGCTCCAGCCTGGTCTTGGGCACTCCAGGGATCCAGGGGCAGCCCCAGCTGCTCTGGCAATTCCAGCCCAGCCAGGAATTCCCAGTTCCCAATCTCCCACCCATCCCTGCCCTCTGGCAGTGGGAGCCATTCCCTGGCTCCTGTCCCTCCATCCCTTGTCCCCAGTCCCTCTGCAGCTCTCCTGGAGCCCCTTCAGGCCCTGCCAGGGGCTCTGAGCTCTGCCTGGAGCCTTCCCTTCTCCAGGGGAACATCCCCAGCTATCCCAGCCTGGCTCCAGGGTCAGTGGGATTCTGTGGGATGGGATCTCTCCCCAGGACCCCAGCAATTCCCCATCCCGTTGCTGTATCCCAGCAGGACTGGCTCCCATTGCATCCCTGACCTGGGACTGATGGTTTCATTCCAGCTGATCCGTGGGATCTCACACAGAGTTTCATTTCCTTCCCGTTCCATCCTGGATTTTCAGTCAGGGAGTGTCCCAGGATTTTCAGGGTTCTGTTGGAAATGACCAAGCTGGAGGTTTTAATCAGAGCCATCTCTAATTAGGAGCTATTGATAGACCTTAAACCCAGCTTAACTCACCAGGGAAATGCCTCATTTCACTCCCAAGGATTTTCTCCAGCAAGGGAAGAAATCCATCCTCAATCTTTTCTGGATGAGTGAGGCTGCAAGTGCCATTCCATGGATTGCTGGAGCATCCTAATTGGATTTTCTCCTGGAGATTGCAGCTGGAATTGGCTCCTGGGTGTGTTCCAGTGCTTGGGAACATCCAGGGCTGAGCAGAAACATTGGGATTTCTGGAACAGCAGCCAGGGTTAATCATGGAGCTGGAGTTTTGTGGGGATTCTCCAAAGAAAAAAACATTGAGATGTGATCCTGGGTGGGGGAAAGGGCTTGGGAAGGAGCAGTGGCACTGGATGTGTGGGAAAACTCCCTTTAATTGGGAAAATCCATCCCTCAGATCCGTGTTTCAGGGCAGGAATTCTTGATTGGATTTTGAGGTGAGACCAAAATTGTTATTCCTGAAATTCAGCCCTCAGGGGAGGGAAAACTGGTTTGTTTTGGGATAGCTACACCTGATGCATTTGTTTTGCACCAGGACCTGTTGGATTTGGGGTTTTTCCCAGCTCTGAGTCGTGGTGGATAAAAAATTCCTTCCTTGGAGGGTGGGGAGGTGCTGGCCCAGCTTTCCAGGAGAGCTGAGGCTGCCCTGGATCCCTGGCAGTGCCCGAGGCCAGCTGGAGCAGCTGGGACAGTGGGAGGGGTCCCTGCCAGGCAGGGTGGGATTGATGGGATTTCAGGTCCTTTCCATCCCAGCCCATCCTGGACAGTGAAATTCTGTCACTCCCTGGAATATCCATAAGTACTGGAATGTTTCTCGTGGGCACGGGCAGCCTGGGATTGTTGCAAGTTCTCCTTTATTCCGAGAACATGTGAAAATTTCCCTTCCAGAAGCAGGGTGCTTGTTCTCCCATGTTTTCCACGTGGGCTGCAGCTGCCTTTGGAGATATAATTGGAAAAGAGGAGCTGTCAGCTCCTTAATTAGTGTGGAAATCATGGAAAACAGATTTTCCTCCCTGGCAGCCTCGGAGGGGCCCCCAAGACATCCCCGGATGGAGCAGAAAACAGATTTTATTGAAGGAAAATTGTTCCAAAGGGGGTTTTGTATTTCCTTTATTCCTGGTTTCAAGGGGCTTGGAATTGCAGGAAATGCAGGAGCAGTTTGGATAAAAGCCCAGATAAACTCAGGGTTATTTTGCAGGGATTTTCCTTCCCAAGGGTGAATTTTCAGGCTGCCTTGGAAGGGCCCTCAGCTCCTTCCCATGGTATCTTCCCCCAGAGAATCTGCAGGAATTCTGGGATCCTGCTTTCCCACAGACCTCTGGAAATGGGATTTGGGAGGGGGATTTGAAGGCTTTGGTGTGCATGGATTAACTTTGAAAAATCCACGGCTGTTTCCCATTTTTAAAGGATGTGCAGGTGTCCCACATTCCTGGCTTTCCCAGAAATACCCTAAATATTGGAATGGTGCTTGGTTCAGCTGGCAGGGTTTGGTCCTTGAGTGGGAACTTTGGGAAAGCAGGCAGGGATTTAAACATTCCTGGTGGATCAGTGCTGGGTGAGCTCTGCCTTTCCTTGGCAGCTCATCCCAGGCCATTCCCAGTGTGCTCCAGACCTCCCTGGAGCCAGGGACAGCCTGGGAATGGCTGCACCTGGAATTCCTGATTAAACAGCTCAGGGCTGGAGTCTGATCCCCGGGGCTGAGCTGGGTTCTTGCTGGGAATGTCAGGAATGGCAGAGTGAGATGAGCCCCTTCTCCAGCCTGTGTCATCCTCAGAGCAGCTGGAATTCCAGTTCTGGTCTCCAGTTCATTCCTTAATTCATCCCATCAGCTTGAAATGTGGCAAGTTCCCCTTGGAGCAGTGCCATGGCTGCTTCCAGGCCCGTTTTCCATCCTGCCTCAGAGCCATTGGAATTCCAGTGGACCTCCACTTTGCCTCCTTAATTTATTCCTATCATTTTGAACCACCTGGTTGTGGGACCTGCCCCTTGAAGAGGTGCCATGGCTGCTTCCAGGGCTCTTTTCCATTTTGGCTCAGCCTCAGAGCCATTGGAATTCCAGTCTCTGGGGTCTCCACTTTGCCCCATTAATTCATCCCCACCATCCTGGGCTGTCTGGATGTAGAACCTCCCCCTTGGAGCAGAGCCACGGCTGCTTCCAGGCCCCTTTCCCATCCTTTTCCATTCACGCTTTTCCATTCAGAGCCACTGGAATTCCAGTCTCTGGGGTCTGCTCTTTGCCCCTTTAATTAATTCCTATAATTTTGAACCACCTGGTTGTGGAACCTGCTCCTTGAAGAGGTGCCATGGCTGCTTCCAGGGCTCTTTTCCATCCTCCCTGAGCCCCAGAGCATTTGGAATTCCAGTCTCTGGCTCTCCACTTTGCCTCCTTAATTCATCCCCACCATCCTGGGCTACCTGGATGTGGAACCTCCCCCTTGGAGCAGAGCCACGGCTGCTTCCAGACCCCTTTCCCATCCTTTTCCATTCACGCTTTTCCATTCAGAGCCACTGGAATTCCAGTCTCTGGACCTCCACTTTGCCTCCTTAATTTATTCCTCTCATTTTGAACCACCTGGTTGTGGGACCTGCCCCTTGAAGAGGTGCCATGGCTGCTTCCAGGTCCCTTTTCCATTTTGGCTCAGCCTCAGAGCCATTGGAATTCCAGTCTCTAGGGTCTCCTCTTTGCCTCTTTAATTAACTCCTATAATTTTGAACCACCTGGTTGTGGAACCTGCTCCTTGAAGAGGTGCCATGGCTGCTTCCAGGGCTCTTTTCCATCCTCCCTGAGCCCCAGAGCATTTGGAATTCCAGTCTCTGGCTCTCCACTTTGCCTCCTTAATTCATCCCCACCATCCTGGGCTACCTGGATGTGGAACCTCCCCCTTGGAGCAGAGCCACGGCTGCTTCCAGACCCCTTTCCCATCCTTTTCCATTCAGAGCCACTGGAATTTCAGTCTCTGGCTCTCCAATTTGCCCCTTAATTCATCCCCACCCCTGGATGCCTTCCAAGCCCCTTTTCCACGGCGGGAGGCCGCGGATCGCCTCGGGGCTGTCCCTCCCTTGCCCTGAGCCCCCTTTCCCCGTTTTTCGGGCAGGTGCAAGAGCAAGGTGTACCCGGAGGAGCTGCCCAACACCAGCGTGGTGATCGTGTTCCACAACGAGGCCTGGAGCACGCTGCTCAGGACCATCCACAGCGTGCTGGAGCGCTCCCCGCCGCGCCTGCTGGCCGAGATCGTCCTGGTGGATGATGCCAGCGAGAGAGGTGGGGCTGGCCCGGCTGCTCCCATCCCAGAGCCCATCCCCTCCTCCCCGGGGTGGGGGTCCTGCAGCTCAGGGAGTGTTCAGGATGTGTGGAGACGCGAGGCTTGACTGACTCTGTGTTTCTCAGGAAGCTGATTTATTATTTTATGATATATATTATATTAAAATGCTACATAAAAACCATACTAAAAAGACAAAAGAAGTCATCAGAAAGCTTGAAAAAACAAAAATAAAATGACATGCATGACAAAATCTTGTGACTCTCAGAGTCCAATGCAGCTGCTTCTGTGATTGGCCATTAATTAGAAACAAGCAACATGTACCAATCCCAGATGCACCTGTTGATTCCACAGCAGCCCACAGGAGCTGAGGGCTTCAGGAAAGAAATGTAAACAATAACATTGTTTACATTTCTTTCCTGAAGCCCTCAGCTCCTCAGGAGGGGAAAATCCTAGCAAAAGGATTTTTCAGAAAATACCATAACTACACAGGGAGGGCTGGCAGTGTCGTTCACACCAAGCTCATCCCAGCAGTGGTGGGATCCAGAGGGAGTGGGGAGAGGGGTTGGAAAAGATTAATGGAGTGCCAGGATGGTTTGGCTTGGAGGGGACCTTCAAAGGGCACCTAATGCAGCCCCTCACCATGGCAGGGACACCTCCCACCATCCCAGTTATCCAGGCTGGCCTTGGGCACTGCCAGGGATCCAGGGGCAGCCCCAGCTGCTCTGGGAATTCCAGCCCAGCCAGGAATTCCCAATCTCCCATCCATCCCTGCCCTCTGGCACTGGGAGCCATTCCCTGGCTCCTGTCCCTCCATGCCTTGTCCCCGGTCCCTCTGCAGCTCTCCTGGAGCCCCTTCAGGCCCTGGATCAGATCCAGCTCAGTTAATTTGATATTCTTGGAAAGGTAAATCCTTTCCTTCCCATCTCTCCACCCTCCTCATTCCATGTTTCAGATTTTCCTGAATATCCCCACTAAGTCAATTCCTTGGAATCCCAGAGTGCTTTGGGTTGGAAGGGACCATCTCATTCCAACTCTGCCTTTGTTGCTCCTCTTTGTGCTTCGTTTCCTGCAGTCTTCACTCTTTTATTTTCTGTTTTGACCCCCAACTTTAAAAAGCAATCTCTGCCTGTGGAACTGGGACTCCCTGGAAAAGGAATCCCATCCAGTTCCTTAAATGGAATCAATGGAATGAAAAAGAATCCTGGAGAAGCCCAATGGCAAACTCAACCCTGCAGCCACTCCATCCTTCAGTTCTGCCTCATGGAGCATTAATTGAACCCTAATTACTCCCTGGATTTCCCTGCTCATTAAGTGGCTTAATGATTCCCTATGCCAGAAGGTGGAGGAGGATTTGAGCCAAGTAATTCCCATTTTTCCTAAGAGCATGCAAAAAGCTCCAATGGGGAAATCCATCAAAAAAACCCTTTTTTTTTTTAATTGAACAGCAGCAAATTGCCCAAAGTGACTTTGTCTTGTGCTTGCTGGTTCATTCCAAGGAGCTGCTTGTGCTTTATTTAAAATTCCTGAGATATTATCCTGGAATCAGGGAATGGTTTGGCTTGGAAGGGACCTTAAAGCCCACCGCCATGAGATGCTCCAAGCAGGGAGGTTCTGTGACTACCCTGCAATAAAACCTCCCTAAAAAATCCCATTTCCCTTCTGTTCCCCCCCCCAATTCTGGCAGAGTTTTTGAAGGCCTCCCTGGAGAACTACGTGAAGAAGCTGGAGGTGCCCGTCCGGATCCTGCGGATGGAGCAGCGGTCGGGGCTGATCCGGGCCCGGCTCCGAGGGGCGGCAGCCGCCAAGGGCCAGGTGATCACGTTCCTGGATGCCCACTGCGAGTGCACCCTGGGCTGGCTGGAGCCGCTGCTGGCCAGGATCAAGGAGGACAGGTGAGGAATTCCTGCCTCCAGAGGCAGGGATCTGCCCCAGGCCCTTCCCTGGCTGCTGAAAAATGGGAATGAAAAGGATTCGCCGAGCTGCAATGAAGAGAACATTGAATGTGTTTTGAGTTCGCTGCTGTTTGTGTCAAAATCTCATTCCTGAATAAATGTGGGAGCAGCTTTCCCAAGGAAAATGATCTCTCCCATTCAAAGGAAGGTTTCTCCCTGTTTTTTACCAGGAACAACTTCTCTCCCTGACCCCCTGAACTCATGGAGATTTGCACCCTTTTTATTCCTTCTCCTTTCTTGTTTTCCCTTTTTTCACTCTTTTTCCCATCTTTTTTTTTCCCTCTTTTCCTCCCCTTTTCCCTCCTTTTTTCCTTCTTCCCCTGCTTCCCTTCCCTTTTTCCCCTTCCTTCTTTCCCTCCATTTCCCTCTTCCCCGTGATTTTCTCCATTATTCTACTTTTCCTTTTTCCCCTTCCTCCCTTTCCCTTCTTTTCCTTCTTCCTCCCCTTCGCTGCCTTTCCCCCTTCTCCCTTTTTCTTCCTTTTCCTCCCTTTCCCCCCTTTTTTCTCTCCTTTACTCTGTTTTCCCTTTTCTTTCCCTTTTCTTTTTTTCCCTCCTATTTTCCCTCTTTCTTCTCCCTCCTTCTCTTCCTTTCCACCCTTCCCCCTCTTTTCCCCTTCTTCCTCAGTTTATTCCCCCTTTTTGTCCCCCTTTTCTTTTTCTTCCCCTTTTCCCCACTCTTTTACTCCCATTCCTTGCCTTTTTCCTTCTCTTTTCCCCCTCCTATTTTCCCCCCTTTTTTCCCTCTTTTCCCCTTCTCCCTCATTTTATTCCCCCCTTTTTCTCCCCACTTTTCCCTCCTCTTTTCCTTGCATTCCTCACCCTTTCCCACCTTTTTCCTTTTCTTTTTCCCCAACTATTTTCCCCCTTCCTTCCCTCTTTTCTCTTTCTCCCTCATTTTATTCCCCCCATTCTCCTCCTTTCCCTCCTCTTTTCCTTCTTTTCTTCCCCTTTCCTCCTCCCTCATTTTATTCCCCCTCTTCTCCTCCTTTCCCCCCTTTTCTTCCCTTTTCCCCCCTCTTTTCCTCCATTCCTCACCCTTCCCCACCTTTTCCCTTTTTCCTCTCTTTCTTCCCCCTCTTCCCTCCTGCTTTCCCCCTTCTCCCTCATTTTATTCCCCCCATTCTCCTCCTTCCCTCCTCTTTTCCTTCTTTTCTTCCCCTTTCCTCCTCCCTCATTTTATTCCCTCTATTCTCCTCCTTTCCCCCCTCTTTTCCTTCTTTTCTTCCCCTTTCCTCCTCCCTCATTTTATTCCCCCTCTTCTCCTCCTTTCCCCCCTTTTCTTCCCTTTTCCCCCCTCTTTTCCTCCATTCCTCACCCTTCCCCACCTTTTCCCTTTTTCCTCTCTTTCTTCCCCCTCTTCCCTCCTGCTTTCCCCCTTCTCCCTCATTTTATTTCCCCTCTCCCCCTTCCCTCCCTCCCCTGTGTCTCCCACTGTCCCCAAACCCCCCCACAACCCCCCAAATTCCCGTTTTTCCCCCAGGAAAACCGTGGTGTGTCCCATCATCGACGTGATCAGCGACGACACCTTCGAGTACATGGCGGGCTCGGACATGACCTACGGGGGCTTCAACTGGAAGCTGAATTTCCGCTGGTATCCCGTGCCCCAGCGGGAGATGGACCGCAGGAAAGGGGACAGGACCCTGCCCGTCAGGTCAGCGCCCCTCTTCTCCCAAAAATCCCCCCCAGATCCCAACATTCCGCTGCAGGGTCGGAGGCGGAATCGCGGGGAAAGCCCAAATCCTGGCACGTCCTGGCTGCTGCAACCTTGGGCCAACACCATCCTCCTCCCAGTGAATTCCAAAGGGATTCCAAATGTTCCGGAATTCCAAAGGTTTCTGCCTGTTTGGCTCCCTCTGTTAATTTGCTGCAAACAGATTTTAGTCCCTTTTTTTTGGGAATTTAAGGCAGATATTCCAGAGGATTTCTGAGCACTTTTGAATCTCAGTGATTTGCACTCAACCCCATCCCGTCCTCTTCCAAATGTTCAGGAATTCCAAAGGTTTCTGCCTGTTTGGCTCCCTCTGTTAATTCGCTGCAAACAGATTTTAGTCCCATTTTTTTGGGAATTTAAGGCAGATATTCCAGAGGATTTCTGAGCATTTTTGAACCTCAGTGATTTGCCCTCAACCCCATCCCGTCCTCTTCCAAATGTTCAGGAATTCCAAAGGTTTCTGCCTGTTTGGCTCCCTCTGTTAATTTGCTGCAAACAGATTTTAGTCCCTTTTTTTTGGGAATTTAAGGCAGATATTCCAGAGGATTTCTGAGCATTTTTGAACCTCACTGATTTGCCCTCAACCCCATCCCATCCTCTTCCAAATGTTCAGGAATTCCAAAGGTTTCTGCCTGTTCAGCTCCCTCTGTTAATTTACTGCAAACAGATTTTAGTCACATTTTTTTGGGATTTAAGGCAGATATTCCAGAGGATTTCTGAGCATTTTTGAACCTCACTGATTTGCCCTCAACCCCATCCCGTCCTCTTCCAAATGTTCAGGAACTCCAAAGATTTCTGCTTCTTCAGCTCCAGTGTTCAGGAATTCCGGATTTCTGCCTGTTGATCTCCCTATGTTAATTTGCTGCAAGCAGATTTTTATTCCCTTTTTTTTTTTTTTTTAATTTAAGGTAGATATTCCAAAGGATTGCTGAGCACTTCTGAGCTTTGAACCTCAGTGATTTGCACTTAACCCCATCCCATCCTCTTCCAGATGTTCAGGAATTCCAAAGGTTTCTGCCTGTTCAGCTCCCTCTGTTAATTCGCTGCAAAGAGATTTTTATTCCTGGTTTTTCAGGATTTAAGGCAGATATTCCAGAGGATTTTCTGAGCATTTTTGAGCTTTGATTTGCACTTAACCCTATCCCATCCTCTCCCAAATGTTCAGGAATTCCAAAGATTTTTGCCTGTTGATCTCCCTCTGTTAATTTCCTGTTAATGGATTTTTATTCCTGGGTTTTTTTTGGGATTTAAGGCAAATATTCCAAAGGATTTCTGAACATTTTTGAGCTTTGAACCCCAGTGATTTGCGCTTAACCCAATCCTGTCCTCTTCCCAATGTTCAGAATTTCCAAAGATTCCTGCCTGTTCAGCTCCCTCTGTTAATTCGTTGGAAATGGATTTTTAGTCTCATTTTTTCAGAATTTAAGGCAGATATTCCAAAGGGTTTCTGAGCATTTTTGAGCTTTGAACCCCAGTGATTTGCACTTAAATTCCTGGCTTATTGCTTGGAAAATGGGATTGATAATGGAGCACCCTGAGGGAAAAATGATCCAAGAGCATGTCCTGACCTCTTCCATTTAATTGCTGGAGTCACAGAGTGGAACAAAACCTCTTCCAAAATTGCAAATGGAGCTGAAAAGGGAACAAATGGAATAAATTCCTGGCCATGGGATGTTTGCTCAGCTGCACTGGCTGCTGGGGCTTCCTGCAAAATTCCAAAAGAGACCAAAAAAAGGGTTCCCGAGTGGATGGAATGGATTTAAATCTGGGAAGGGTGAAGGATTCCAAGCCTGCAGGTGGAGGGAGAGGCAGTTCAGGGATAGTGCAGGCAAGGAAGGGATGGAAGGGCAGGAAAAACCTTCCAAAATTGCTTTTAAAATTCCCACGTCTGTCCCTGATTGTCCTGGCAAGGCTGGAATCGGGGAAGGACAGATTTGGGGTTTATTCCCAGGATTTGGGGTTTATTCCCAGGATTTGGGGTTTATTTCCAGGAAAAGCAAGCTGTCAGAGCCAAGGGAATTGTTTTCCTCCTGATCCAAAATCTCCTCTCTGGGCCAGCAGCTCTTGATTAAAGCTCAGGTGTGCATGGAAATTGGGAAAATGAATTATCCTAACGAGCTGCAGGGCCTTGCTGAGCTCCAGCCATCCATCCATCCTTATTTCCTTACCCTGAAATGGAGCAGGGCTCAAAACTAATCCCAGCTCACACACTGAATGGACTCTTAAAATTGATGAAGCAAGAAAAAAAAAAAAAAGTTGTTGAATTCCTGTATTTTTCCCATCAGTTTTTGGCTGGAATTTTGGGGGATTCTCTGGATAAAATGGGAGTTGGGAAGCAAGGGGGGCAGAGGGACAAATGTCACCTGTGCCACGGCTGTCACAAAGAGCTGAGAGTGAAGGGTTGTGCTTTAGGCTGGATCAAGTCCAAAATCTCAGGTTTTAGTCCAGGAATTTCAGTCTTTGGTGACAGAGAATCCCAAAATCTTGGGCATTTCCAGGCTCGGCACAGCCCATTTTTGTGGATATTTCCATGCTTTTCCCTCAGTTTTTGGAGCTGAAGGCACTCCAGGCTGGGATTTGAAATACTAAAAATATGGATTGTGGCCCAGGAAATGTTTTGTATAAATTAGGGATTGAGAGGGAAAATAGAGGATCAAATCCCAGGGAAAAGGCAAGATCAAAAAATAGAAAAAAAAGACAAGATTAAATATCAGGAGTGTGTTAGGATCATGGAGTTTGCTGAGCTGGAAGGGACCCACAGGGACCATCAATCCATCCCAAAAATCCCCCCCTGTGCCTGGGAACATTTTCCAAATGCTCCTGGAACTCTGACTATTATTAATATATTACTTATTATCTTGATATTATATTAATATCTTGATTATGAGTAATTAACCTTAGAGTTGATTGCAGTTAATTAACCCTGCCTGGGTGATGAGCAGCAGGGATTGATGTTGATCCTGGTGCCAATCTTTATTCCCAGATACTCCCACAGTGGTCAGGTTTAGTGGGATTTTGTGCTGCTGGGATTGGTGTTGATCCTGGTGCCAGTCTTTATTCCCACAGTGGTCAGGTTTAGTGGGATTGTGTGCAGCAGGGATTGATGTTGATCCTGGGGCCAATCTTTATTCCCAGATACTCCCACAGTGGTCAGGTTTAGTGGGATTGTGTGCAGCTGGGATTGGTGTTGATCCTGGTGCCAGTCTTTATTCCCACAGTGGTCAGGTTTAGTGGGATTGTGTGCAGCAGGGATTGATGTTGATCCTGGTGCCAGTCTTTTTTCCCACAGTGGTCAGGTTTAGTGGGATTGTGTGCTGCTGGAGCCCTGCCCAGGATAGCATTCCCTGGGAAAAGCAGGATGAGGTGATGCCATGGGGCAGCTCCAGGGCTGGAATCCCTTTGCCAGCCCTCTTCCTCTCCCATCATGAAATCCTGGGCTGGGTTGTGGCTTTGCTGGGATGCAGCAAACCTGGGATTGCTCCCATGTTTTCCGTGCAGGAATGGGAGTCCTGCTGCTATGAGAGCTGCAGGGATGGGAAGCAGGTGTTGCTTCCCAAATAAAACAGGATCAGGTGATGATGAGAATCAATCCCAGAAATTCCCAGGAGCTGTCAGGTGATTCCACAGGGAAAAGATGCAGAACTGAGGAAAAAAATTAATTTTTACAGTTTAAAATTCACTTCAAGTCCTTTGATCTTCCCAATATTTTGGTGGAGGGGGTTTTCCAAGGACAGCCCTGCAGCTCTGGTTGTGTCCCATTAAATTCTCATCCCAGGGAGCAGTCCTGCCTGCTGCACTCCCCTTATCCCAGGGGCTGGGTTGGGGATTGGGACATGAGGTACTGAATTTTCCAGGGTGGAACTCAGCACTCCCAGGTTGGTCAGGCAGGGATTTGGGAAGTGTTTGGTTTCAGAAGGCAAAGGACACTTGGGGTGCTTAGCAAGAATCCAGCTCTGTGTGTCCAGTTCAGTTTCATCCTTCACAACTTGCTTAAGGCTCTGTCGTGGAAAAAATGGGGAATTTTGTATCAAGCAAAGAGTGTCTCCACTCAGGGGGGAGGAAGAAGGAGGAATGAGAATGTTTGGATTGGGAAAGACCTTAAATCCCATCCCATTTCACCCCGGGACACTCCCACTGTCCCTGGCTGCTCCAAGCCCCTCCAGCCTGGCCTTGAACATTCCAGGGATCCAGGGCAGCCCCAGCTGCTCTGGGAATTCCAGCCCAGCCAGGAATTCCCAGTTCCCAATCTCCCATCCATCCCTGCCCTCTGGCAGTGGGAGCCATTCCCTGGCTCCTGTCCCTCCATCCTTGTCCCCAGTCCCTCTCCAGCTCTCCTGGAGCCCCTTCAGGCCCTGCCAGGGGCTCTGAGCTCTGCCTGGAGCCTTCCCTTCTCCAGGGGAACATTCCCAGCTCTCCCAGCCTGGCTCCAGAGGGGCTCCAGCCCTGCAGCAGCTCCAGAGTCTCATCCCAAGGCTCACTCCCCCAAATCCCACAGCTTTGGCTGTGCTGGGACATCTCAGAGGAGAGCTGGGATTTGGGATGGAGTTGTTCCTTCCCAAATTTGGGCTCCCTCGGGGGCAAAGCCCAGCCATGAAACTCCTCCCAAGCATTCCCAGTTTTGGCTGTGCTGGGACATCTCGGAGGAGAGCTGGGATTTGGGATGGAGCTGTTCCCTCCCAAATCGATCCCTGTGCTCCCAGCAGCTGGGCTGGGCATCCCTGTGGCATTTCCATTTCCAGGGAAACCAGCCATCCCTACACAAAGCCCTGGGCTGCCTGTTGGGAGGAGTTCTCATCCTCTTAGCTGAGATTTTCCTGCTCCTTTGATGCCGTTTTGGGCTCCCTCGGGGGCAAAGCCCAGCCATGAAACTCCTCCCAATCCATTCCCGGTTGGATTTGAGCTGCTGCTTGCCCAGGAGGCCCAAATCCCACCCAATTGACCCTGACAATTCCCCTGAAATAATCCATGGGAATGGGAGCAACCCTGGAGTGTGGCTGGGTCCAAGCTCCGTGGATTTTGGGGAAGAGCAGGGACATCCAGATAAAATTGTCTTTATTGCTCCTTGGGGTGAGGCTGGGCCTGAGATCCATAGATTTTGGGGAAGAGCAGGGAAAATCCAGTTAAAATTCTCCTTTTCTACTTGTTTTCCATAGAATTCCTGTGTGGTGAAATGTGCTGTGAATTCCAGAGTGTCCTTTAAAAGGTCTTTTTTCTTTTTTCTTTTCTCTTTCCTTTCTCCCCTGTTTTTTTCTTTTCTGTTTTCCTTTGTTTTTGTTTTTTTTTTGTTTTGTTTTGTTTTTTTCCCTGTTTGTTTCCCACCCAGGACCCCAACTATGGCTGGTGGCCTGTTTTCTATTGACAGGAACTACTTTGAAGAGATAGGAACTTACGATGCAGGAATGGATATCTGGGGTGGCGAGAATCTTGAAATGTCCTTTAGGGTAATTCCTGTTTTCCTTCCTTTTCTTTTCCCCCCACAAAAAATATCCCCCCATTTGTGCTGTCATTCCTTCAGGGAGCTCCTGCTTTAGCTGGCCTGCAAGTCATGAGTTAAATGGAATTTTTAAAATTTGGGGAAACCTCGTGGGGTGTTTTGGGGATTTTTTTGCTGCATGGAATGTTTTAGTATCGAGGGTTTTATCCCTCTAAAATTCTATATATTTTAGGCATTCCTTCATGGAAAAAACGAGGTGCCCAGTGGAAATTTGCTATGAATTTATGTTAAAAAATAAAATTATAAATACGTTTTAAGACGTTTTGGGAATGGTGACATCATGGACTTGCAAGTTCCGGCTGGAATTCTGGGTCTGTGCCAGGGAAATTCCTATCCTGCAGAAAATGCTGATGTTCCTGCTGGGGTAGGGGTGAGCCACACCTCAGGGAAATGCATCCAGTCACTGCCCTTCGGATGGAAAAGTGGGAAATTGAGGCTTGGCTGGGGAATGGTTGGAAGGGATGTTGGGAATGGCTTTGGACTCCCCTGATGTGTCCCACTTTCTGGATTTAGTGATGGGAATAACCCCCAGGATTCCCACAGTGCATCCTGGCAATGCCCTTTCCCCCTTTTCCTGTCTTTTCCATTCAGCCAGGACTGTTTTCCTTGCCAGGGACCCCTCTGAAGTTTTTTAGGGAACAGATTTTCCAAGGAAGAGCAGCTGGGAATTTGAAAGCTTTCCCAGGCCCTTCCTCTGAACTTTAATTGTTCCCTTTGCAGGAAAATCAAAAGGTTCAGTTCCCCTCCTGAGCCTGGGTGCTTCCAGTGGGGAGATTCCCATGTTTTTTGTTGTGTTAACCCCTAAAATTCCTCCCGGGGTGTGCCAAGCCCCCTGTGCAGGAATTATTTTCCATGTTTTTCCATGTTGTACAGGAGATCCCTGGAACAGGGAGTGCCAGGCACTGTTAAAGCATTCCAAATGTGCCTTTCCTACCCTAAACCAGTGAACTGATGGGGTCAGGGATAGGAATAAATGGAGATATTTCCATGGGAAGGCCAGGGAATCACCTGGTGCTGTTTATTGGGATTGATTAGAGCCTCTGGAAGGAAAACAACTGAAAATCCAGGGATATTTTCTGTGACTTTATCAGGGACATCAAAGGGTTCAAACCCCAGCTGAGGGAACAAATCCATGGGAAAATGAGGGCCAGGAGAGCTGGAGGATCAGGGAGGTTCCTCCTGCTCCAAAGCTGCCCTATCCAGTGGGATTTGGGAATATCTCCTGTCAGGAAAACTCTGGGAGAAATTCCTGCTGTGGGATTGGAGTGAGGCACAGGGGTCTTCCTGGAGCTGTTCTTACACCCAGGACTGGATCACCAAAGGGAGGGAGGAGATTTGGGACTGGTTCAGAGTAATCAATCCCAAAAAATAAAACGAACCCAGCCCTTCTCCGCATATTTTGTGAATTCCTGAATCCTCAGAAATGTTATCCAGTGCCTTTGCTTTCCCTGGATCATCTCTGTCTCATCTACATCCAGCTCCAACATTATCCCAAAGAATAATTAAAAGGATTTCCAGCTTTTTTGCTCTCAAGGGCATTTCCAGGAGGAGCATCCATGGGGCATCATTTGATTATTTTGGGAAAATCCATGTTTTTTCTTTTAGCTGCTTCTTGTTGCTGGTGGGTCTTTAATGACTCCTTTTAGGAATGTCTTTCAATTAGGGAAAAATAATGATAACTCCTGGCAGGAATTATTACAGCTCCAAGGGTTTGCTTCAGTCAAGGAAAACCTGATGTATTCATAAACTTTATTTTTATTTATGAAATTACTGAAATTTTTAGCTTTGTGTTAAATCCTCCGAGTGGTTTTATCCCACTTGGAGAATGCCCTGAAAACTTGATGCTCTGAAAGGATTTCCTATGGCTTTGGAAAGGGAATTTAAAATTATCTGTCTATCAGAAAAAAAAAAAAATCCTATGAGATTATTCCTTAGGATAACCCAGGCAGGGCTGGGACTGGGAATGTGAGCTCTGAGCAGGGTAGGACGGGGTTTATTTGGGATTTCTGGATCTGCTGGAAGTGCAGAAAGGACAGGGAAAAGGGGATTTCTTCAGGGATGTGGCAGTGGAGTTGTTCTGATCTCTGGAATTCCTGCTTGGCTGTTGTGGGAATTGTGACAGGAAAGGGTGAGGAGCAGGAAGGGTTAATTCCTTTAGAAGCCAGTCAGAATCCTGGCTCTGGAGCCGGGCTGGGAGAGCTGGGAATGTTCCCCTGGAGAAGGGAAGGCTCCAGGAGAGCTGGAGAGGGACTGGGGACAAGGCATGGAGGGACAGGAGCCAGGGAATGGCTCCCAGTGCCAGAGGGCAGGGATGGGTGGGAGATTGGGAACTGGGAATTCCTGGCTGGGCTGGAATTCCCAGAGCAGCTGGGGCTGCCCTGGATCCCTGGAATGTCCCAGGCCAGGCTGGACAACTGGGATGGTGGGAGGTGTCCCAGTATGGATTGGGATGGGATTTAATGCCCTTCCAACCCAAAGCATTCCAGAATTCCCTGACTCCCTGGCATCCCAACAGCGAGGGATGAATGCATTCCACAGTCTGTGAGGGGAGCAGATCCCTGGGACCCCACAATTCTCAGCCAGGACGGGAACTTTTGGGAAGCAGTCACATTCCCAGGGAGTGTCCCAGAAGGTTGATTCGTTGGGATTTTAAACAAATATCGAAAACTTCCTTTTGCTAAGAAGAGGGTGCAAGTTCCCCCACATCCCATCCCAGCTGGCACAGGGAGCAGATTGCTCCAAGGAGAGCCAAAAATGGGCTGGAAAAGTGTCCAGGAGCAGAGGTTTTTAGAAATGGTGGTGTGGGAGGAATTCCCTGCCAGCTGGGATGGGAAACCAGCAGGGGAATGCTGGGATTTGGGATGGAGGGTGCCTCAAAATGTGTGTCCTCCTTCCTGGCGTGTCCAGTTATTCCAGACTGCTCCAGGAGCACATCCATGGTGAATATTTGGGATTTACTCCCTGGTGTATGTTTGGGGTTATTCCCAGATTTCTCCATGAACACATCCTTGGTGTATATTTGGGATTTATTCCACACTCCCTGTTTGTTCTGGGAATACATCCCTGGAGTATTTGGGGTTATTCCGTGGAATTATTTGGGGTTATTCCATGTAATTATTTATGGTTATTCCATGGAATTATTGGGGGTTTTTCCATGAGCACATCCCTGGAGTTTATGTGACGTTATTCCATGCTCCCAGGTTGCTCCATGAGCATATCCTAGGTGAATATTTGGGATTTATTCCCTGGTGCATATTTGGGGTTACTCCATGGAGTTATTTGGGGTTATTCCATGGTGGATATTTGGGGCTATTCCATGGAGTTAGTTGGGGTTACTCCATGCAGTTATTTGGGGTTATTCCATGGAGTTAATTGGGGTTATTCCATGGTGGATATTTGGGGCTATTCCATGGAGTTAGTTGGGGTTACTCCATGCAGTTATTTGGGGTTTATTCCATAGAGTTTTTTGGGGTTACTCCATGCATTTTTTTGGGGTTATTCCATGCAGTTTTTTGGGATTATTCCATGCAGTTTTTGGGGTTATTCCATGCTCCCAGGTTGCTCCATGGGCACATCCCTGGTGTATATTTGGGATTTTTCCGTGTTCCCTCTGGAATTCCTTGGCACCCCTGATCCCGGAGTTCCCCCGAGTCCCTGAGCAGTTAACACAGGGATGTGTCACTGCTGATCCCACAGAACCCATCCCTCCTCATTCTCATGGAATTCTGGGAATGGAGGGAGCCCTAATTAACTAAATCTGCCTTGGTTGCCATGGGAACTCAGGTCTGTGTCAAGGAGCTTTAATTCCAAGATTCCACCAGAGCTCCTGCTTAAAACTCCTCAAAAACTCATGGATTTAACACCAGGAGGAGCCTGGAGGTAAAAGAATTGTAATAAAATAATTGAAATGAAAAGTTGCAATAATTAAAACAATTGAAATAAATAATTGAAATTTAAAAAATGGAAAGAAATAATGGAAAGAAATATTTGAAATAAAGAATTGAAATAAAGAATTGAAATAAAAACTGGAACTAAAATAATTGAAATAATTAAGATAAATAAAATATTTAATTAAAATAAAGAATTAAATAATTTGGATCCTTCTGGCTCCTTAGTAGGGACTAAAGCCCTGACCAGAGGTTGAGTCCCATCCCCAAGGATTTAAAAGCTGTGGAATGAGGACATGGATCAGTGGTGAACGAGGTTAACGTTGGACTCAATGATCTTGGAAGTTTTTTCCAAACTAAATAATTCCAGGATTCCCAGCCTTTCTCACTCCATAGTGATCCAGCAGCAAAATTTGTTATTTAACCCCAAAGTTCTCAATTCCAGCATTCCATCATGTTTTAGATTATCCCGAGCACAGATTTTGGCTCCAGCACTGGAAAGGGAAAATTTCCATCTGGGAAAAGTTCCCCACATTGGCTTCTTCATTTAGTATGGAATTTTTGGGATTTCACCAGCACATGAGGTGGAGAACACACCCTGAATTCCTGGGTTTCACCTCTGAGGGTCTGGCATGTGCTGCCTTGTGTCCCTGGGTGTGGCAATATCCTGGGAATGCTGGGGCTTTCCTCGGGATGGCCATGGATGGGATTCTGCTTGGAAAAATTTATATACATATATATAAAATGTAAATATATAAAAAATAGAAATATATATATTCTATGTTTATATGAAAAATTATATGTGCATATTTGAGTGTGTGGGTAGAAGTTCTGCTCTGTTCCTTTGGATCGTATGGGATCCTGGAAGATGCATTCCCTCCATGAATCCATTAGGGAATGGCACCTTTCCCAGCAGGATGGAACCCTGTTTGTGCTCCAGGGACATCAATCCAAGTGAGCCATTCCCAGCACTGGGAGCTCTGGGGAAGAGCAGGAAAAATCCAATCAAAATTGTCTTTATTGCTCCTTGGAGTGGGGCTGGGCCTGAGCTCCATGGATTTTGGGGAAGAGCAGGGAAATCCAGTTAAAATTCTCCTTTTCGAGTTGTTTTCCATAGAATTCCTGTGTGGTGCAATGTGTGAGGTGGCAACAAATTCCACAGTGTCCTTTAAAAAGTCTTTTTTCTTTCCATAAAACTCCTCCCAAATCCATTCCCGGTTGGATTTGAGCTGCTGCTTGCCCAGGAGGCCCAAATCCCACCCAATTGACCCTGACAATTCCCCTGAAATAATCCATGGGAATGGGAGCAACCCTGGAGTGTGGCTGGGTCCAAGCTCCGTGGATTTTGGGGAAGAGCAGGGAAATCCAGGTAAAATTGTCTTTACTCCATGGATTTTGGGGAAAAGCAGGGAAATCCAATCAAAATTCTCTTTTCATAGCTCCTATTTGTTTCCCACGGAATTCCTGTGTGGTGAAATGTGCTGCAAATTCCACAGTGTCCTTTAAAAAGCCGGGTTTTTTCCCCCATTCAACTCCTCCCGAGCATTCCCGGTTGGATTTGAGCTGCTGCTCGCTCAGGAGGCCCAAATCCCACCCAGTTTCCCCTGACATTTGTTGCCAGCCAGGACCAGATCCCTGAATTTTGCCTTGAAAGCCCTGCTGGGAGGGGTGGCGGGGGGCACAGACAGGAATCCTGCCCTGCCGTGTTTGGGATGCTGTGGATGCCGTGTGAGGTGCTCCCGGGACGAGTGGAGAGACGAGAGTCTCAACTCCATGGTGCTGTGGATGCCGTGTGGGGGGCTCCAAGGACGAGTGGAGAGACGAGAGTCTCAACTCCATGTTTCAGAAGGCTTGGTTTATTATCTTATGATACATATTATATTAAAATACTGCATTAAAACTATCCTAAAAGAACAGAGAGAAAAGGATTCATCCGAAGGCTGGAAAGGACAGGAATGGGATGCATAACAAAGACTCCTGACTCCCAGAGAGTCCGAGCCAGCTGCATCTGTGGTTGGGCATTAATTAGAAACAACCAACCTGTCCCAATCCCAGCTCACCTGTTGATCCCACAGCAGCACACAGTTACACGTTTGGGGCCCGGTCCCTGCACGTTCCCGTTGCAGATCTGGCAGTGTGGAGGCTCCCTGGAGATTGTCACCTGCTCCCACGTGGGACACGTGTTCCGCAAGGCCACCCCCTACACCTTCCCGGGGGGCACCGGCCACGTCATCAACAAGAACAACCGCAGGCTGGCCGAGGTCTGGATGGACGAGTTCAAGGATTTCTTCTACATCATCTCCCCGGGTACGGCCGCCCTTGGGATCCGCGCGGGGTCCGGAGCGCGTCCTGAAAAAGGGAGCTGGGAGTGGGAGGTGGCATGGAGCTGTTTGGGTTGGAGAAGTTCGTGGAGATCTTGGAGTCCAACATTGCCAGCAGTGCCATGTCCCCAGTGCCACATCCACAGGGCCCTGGAATCCCTGCAGGGATGGGGAGGGTCTCCCTTGTCAGGAGGGGCCCAGGTGGTCCCTAGAATCCTCAGGGGTCTGTGGGAAGGGCAGCAGAGGTCCCAGCATGGAGAGTTGGAACCCTTTGGAGCTCGGCACTGGGATTTTCTCCCCCATGTGTAGCAGGGAGCACCCATGGACCAGGGAAGTGTCACTGCTATTTTATTGTGGGATCATTTTCCCATTTTCCCACCTTCCACCTTCCTTCCCACTGAAATTCTGTGGCAGCAGAGTCAGTTTCAATTTTCCCTGGCAAGTCAGTAATATCCCTGTGAGTTTTGTGCTTCTTCTCCTGCACCATTTCCTGCTGTTATCCCTCACCTGTTCCAGCTGAATTCCTGCTGTTTTCCATGGGCTGCTCCAGGAATTTGGTTTTTCCAGGGGTTCAAGATATCAGGAATCAGCACTTAATCCCAGCTGGAAAGAATCTCTGGGATTCTGCTTGTGGAATCCCATTTCTCCTGTGGATGCTCACAGAATATTCCCAATCCGTCCTGGAAATCCCTTAAAAAGCTGGGAAATTTAAATTTAAAAAAAGTCTTTGCTCATTTTAAGCACCTAACAATGGTGTAAATATATATATGTATATATATGGATCTCTTCCTTGTGGCTTTTATCCCATCAATTTTTAAGGAAACTGTTCCTTTAAAACAGAAAAATTAAGATGACATGCCAACCTGCTTTTTATATTTATTGTGAGGTTATTCCTTGTTTTTCCCTTCTGGAACGAGCCCAGATCAGCTGGATTTCAGTGCTCCTAGAAGTGCCCTCTCCTCTTCCCAGGATTTGATACAAAATGCCAGCAGAGAACCCTTGGTGAAAATTGGATTTCAGGGAAAGGGTGGAATTAGGTCACTACCAGTGGCAAGGGTTTGTAATCCAAAATTTCAGCCATGTGGAAGAATTTGGGAATAGGTGGTCTTTGTATTCCCTGATCTCCTCCCATGTTATTTATTAATACCTGTATTAATTAATAGATAAAATATAATGAGGTTGTTCCTCAGCATTGAGAAGCAAGTGGAGGAGAAAGGGAAATAAAATGAAGATTTTCATGGAAATTCTCCATAAAAATAAGTAGGAAATAATAGATCTTTTTAAAATAGGGCGTTCCTAAATATAAAAAGTATTCCTAAGTATTTTTAATCTGCTTTTTGATCATTTTCCCTTCCTATTAATGAGGAAAATGGAGATCTCTGGATAATTCTCTGGGAGAACAAAGGAATTTGCCTGTTGGTAATGAGGGCTCTGTTGTCTGGCACAGCCTCATCCCCAGCTCCTCTGGGAGCTGATTCATCCCATTCCTGAGTCAAGATCCCGGGAGAGAGGAGCCAGGGGCAGCTCCCAGTGGGAAGTAGACTTCTCAGCATAATTAGGGGCACACCTCATAATTACATCCTAAATTAAAAGTCTGGAGAGAGCTGGTTCCCTGGGAAAACAGAATTCTGCTGGAGGAGAGCTCAGCTCTAATTTTTGGGATCTTGAGCATATTTTTAATTGGTGCCTTCTCCTGTTTTTGTGTGGATAACAGGAAAATCTTTATTTGTGCTGAGATGAGTCAGGAGCCAGAGTTTTTAATAAATCCAAGCTGGATTTAAGAAAACCAGGAAAAAAATCCCAAAGCAGTGAGGAAAACTCCCCTTTTGGGTTTGGTGTAACCCTGCATTGCCAAGGAATTGGAGTTTTCCTTGGGAGGAGCCTGGCTCAAGGCCTGCAGCTCATGAGCCAAATAAATCAGGAGAGCTTCAGAAATCCTGGACATGCTTCAAATGGGATTTCTTAGGAAAGAAAGGGAATGGATAAATCTGGAATCCAGGAGCTGCCACGTGTGGGACTGTCCCAGCTTGGGTCAGATGAGGTTCAAAAAATCCTGGGAGAGGAAGCTGAGAGGGATTTTCCTCCTAAATCACAGCAAATCTTGGCAATTGTCTGGCTGCAAAAAAGGTTCTTCCCTGTCTGTGTGGGAGGGCAAAAAGTGGGATTGGGATCCTCTCCTGAAACACAAACTGTGCCCAAAATATTCCCTCCACAGCCACTGGTTTCCAACAGTTCCTTCCTTCCTTCCTTCCTTCCTTCCTTCCTTCCTTCCTTAGCTGGGACTCCATGACCTTGGAATGCTTTTCCAGCCTCCATGATTCCATGAAAACCTGTGTCCAGGTCCTGCTGATGTGCAGCCAGGTCTGGCTCCATGTCTGCTCCTTTGGGACCTGTTGTGGTGGCAGGAGATGGGCACAAAGAGTGGGAAGAGCCATGGGATGCTCCAAGGAAATCCAGCTCAGGTGCTGGCCTTGGACACTTCCAGGGATCCAGGGGCAGCCACAGCTTCTCTGGGAATCCTTGCCAGGCCCTCCCCACCTGGTCTGAGTTATTCCTGTCAGGAGAGTTCAGGGAAACACGGTTTGTGAAAATGTGACCGGATTCCTTTGTTATTTTGGAATATGAAGAAATCAGGGAATTCTGCAGTCCTGCCTTTCCAGATTGACAAAGGAAGGAAAAAGGATCACTTGCCAAGCATTTCACTTGGCTCCATTAATGAGTGAATTAATTATAATTACCCCTTGCACACCTCCACGGAGAGGCAGCCACTCAGCCCTCACAGCCTGCTGCTCCCAATCCCAGCACATGGATTGGAATCAAGAGGAGCTGGGGCAGCTCTGGGATTTTCCCCAAATGTCTGATGGGCTCTTCTCTCGCCATTCCAGGGGTGGTGAAGGTCGATTACAGAGACATTTCCATCAGGAAAACCCTGCAGGGGAGCTGGGGCAGCTCTGGGATTTTCCCCAAATGTTTGATGGGCTCTTCTCTCACCATTCCAGGGGTAGTGAAGGTGGATTACAGAGATTTTCCCCAAATGTCTGATGGGCTCTTGTGTCACCATTCCAGGGGTGGTGAAGGTGGATTATGGAGATGTTTCCATCAGGAAAGCCCTGCAGGGGAGTTTGGGCAGCTCTGGGATTTTCCCCAAATGTCTGATGGGCTCTTGTGTCACCATTCCAGGGGTGGTGAAGGTGGATTACGGAGATGTTTCCGTAAGGAAAGCCCTGCGGGAGAGGCTCGGGTGCAAACCCTTCTCCTGGTACCTGGAGAACGTCTACCCTGACTCGCAGATCCCGCGGCGCTACTACTCCCTGGGAGAGGTACGGGCTGGCCTGGAGGGATGAGCCGGGAATGGCGGGACAACGGGAAGGGCAGCGATCCAGGAGTGCAGGAAAAAAAGGAAAGCAGTAAAGAAAAGAAACCAGGAATCGCAGGAAAGCAGGAGTAGAGGAAAGCAGGAATTAAAGGAAATCAATCCGGGCAGGAAACCAGTAGTACAAACCAGTAAGGAAAGCAAGAATGGAAACCAGTAAGGGAAGGAAACTGGTAACTACAGCAAGGAAAGCAGGAAAACCAAGAAATAATCCAGTAAGAAGTGGAAACCAGTAAGGAAAGGAAAGCAGCCTTGAGGGTAAACAGTAATTACAACGTAAAGCAAACAAATAAATCCAGGACACCAAGAAGTGCAGCAAACCAGTAAGTACAGGAAACCACTAACTGATGGAAACCAGTAAGATAAACCAGCAAGGCAGGAAACCAGTAAATAAAGGGAGGCAGTAGGACAGGAAAGCAGCAAGGAAAGGAAACCAGTAACTACAGCAAACCAGTAGTACTGGAAACCAGTAAGAACTGGAAACCTGTTAATAAGGAAAACCAGTAGGTACCAAAAACCAGCAAGTACAACAAACCAGTAAGGAAAGAAACCAGTAAGTACAGGGAACCTGGAGGTGTCCAGAGCCAATGGATCCACTCCCAAGGGGATGAGGTGGCTTTGGAGCCAAGACTCAGGTGCTGAAGTTCCTTTCTTTTCTCTTATTCCTCTTGATTTCTTTTTTCTCTTTATTTTCAAGTCCTTTTTGAGGAGAAGTTGCTGTTCCAAACATATTCCCTCTCTTTAAAAATCTCTCTTTAAATCAAGTGTCTATTCCAAATGTTCACCAGGCAAATCTGTCTCCCAAGTGGAGCAGGAGATTGGAAAAGTGAAGTTTGGGATTAATATTTTGACACAATGAATGTGCAGCTCTTGAGGGGAACCTTCCATCATCGTTAATGGCTTAGAAATGGCATTTTTGGGATTTTTTTAAAGAAATGTTTGTTGACTGAGTGTTTCCCAGCCTGGGGCTGAGGGTCAAGGACATTCCTGGTGATCACAAGGTTCTGGGACCACCAGGAGCTGGAATTCCTTTGAAATTCAGCAAATTCACAGCTAAAAATATTATATTGAGTCATTCCTCTGCTGCCTTTTAAAAGCTCTGGAATGGGTTGATTTGATGATGATGGAATAACAATCAAAGGATTTGATGATGGAATAGCAATCCTGAAATAACACTCTGAGGAACAAATGGCTTTTTTTGACATCCTGGAAAGTGATTTCCCACTGAAATTTGCCATTGTAGGCAGGAATAAAAGGCACTGGAGGATTCCAGATTTAATCCTGCCAAAATAAAGGGAAATGGGGGTTTCCAGCAAGGAAAGGACTTGTCTAGGGAATGTCAAATAATGTGGGATTGTGCCACGTTGTCAGGCTGGAAAATGGGATGAGAAAGGCAGAAAAAAGTGATTAAAACACCTGATCTGTGCAGAGTGGCCTCAGTTCCCATGGAAACAGCAGCTCAGGCAGGAGCTGGGAATTAAAGCCCTGCTTGGCTGTTCCAGTGGAGCAGGGAAAGGGAATTGCAGCCTCAAAACTCAGGGAGCAGCAGAGAAATGGGCAATTTTTAAGGCATTGGAAGTGCATTTTTTGGACATCTTCCTGCCTTTCAGAAGAGATTTGGGCAGGATTTGATCCATCCAAGCTGGAGCAGCATGATTAGGCCATAAATGATCCATGTCCTGCCCTGGATGGCTCCTCCTGGGCTCACATCCAAGGAAAAATGGTGTAAATCAAAGGTGAGCAGCACCAGGCCTCAAAGTGCATTTCCCAAGTGGATGTTTTGTTGTTTTCTGGGACAGACAGGGAGAAAAAGAAGGGAGATTTCAACAGATTTGGGATAATCATCCTGAATTCATGGCTTGACATGGAATAGTGAGAGGTGTCCCTGGCCATGGATGAGCTTTGGGGCCGTTCCCTGACTATTTGGGAATGTGATCTGTTTGCAAATTGCAGTTTTCTGCACAAATCTGGCAGGTCCAGGAAATACTTTTAAGGACTATTTCACCTCTTTCCTTTCTCCAGATCAGGAATGTTGAAACCAACCAGTGCTTGGACAACATGGGCCGCAAGGAGAACGAAAAAGTGGGATTTTTCAACTGCCATGGCATGGGAGGGAACCAGGTAAAGAAAAGCAGGGAAAAGTGGCTTATTTGCCCAAGAATTCCTTTGGAATATTTTAAGTATCTATTTCAATTCCATTTTAGATTTTGTTTGAAAGCATTAGCAAAAAAAATCAATGAAAATTCCAAATTACATTCCATTTTGAGCTGAAGGATTTTAAGAGGGCTCAGCCATTTTTTTTCAATTCTTTCCAGATTTTGGGGGAATATTGGTGCACATCCATGGGAAGTATCCCAGTGAATATATTGAATAGAATCCTGCTGTCATTTAGTAATAAATTTAACATTCCAGACACAAACTTTAGGAAATCTGATCAGGAATTTGAGTTTATTTTCATTAAAATGAAACGGGCACAATCCATAAACGTAGCTGGATCCATCTGTTCTGAATGTGTGTAGGGAAAAAAAAAATATCCAGGATATTCATGGAAGTTCTTTAGTGCAATTCCAGTAGTGGGGACCTGGGGTGTTTCATTTGGAGGGGCTGGAAAGGGAGTAGAAAAGTAGATGGAATTCTTGGTCTTGTGACCAGCTCTGGGTTAATTAGAACAGAATTTGCATATTCCAGTGGATATTCAAATTAGCATGGCTGCTCCAGATGGGGTTTGGGATGTAAATTATAATTAAGGGACTTTTAAGCATATTTGAAATTAACTATTTTAATAAATTAGAATTTATTATTTATGTGTAGAATTTTCCAGGGGTGGTGCCAGCCTGGCACGGTCACAATTCCCCGGTAGCTCTGGTGTTCCAGGCACCTGCTCCTGGCCACATTCCTGGTGGGAAAGGCTGGGATGCTCCGTGTTCCCATCCCTGGTTTGTCCTGGAGCTTCATCCCAGCTCCTGCCATCTCCTCCTGTTCCTTCTTCCATCCTCACTGGAGCTTGGCCTCGTTTCCCTGCTTCTTGGCTTGGAGAACCTTTCCCTTCCCCTGAATTCCTGTGGACTTCTCCAGGGTGAAACCTTTCCCTTCCCATGGATTTCTCCAGAGGAAAACCTTTCCCTTTCCCTGAATTCCCGTGGATTTCTCCAGGGGGAAACCTTTCCATTCCCCTGAATTCCCATGGATTTCTCCAGGGGAAAACCTTAAACCCTTCCCCTGAATTCCTGTGGATTTCTCCAGGGGGAAACCTTTCCCTTCCCCTGAATTCCTGTGGATTTCTCCAGGGGAAAACCTTTCCCTTCCCATGGATTTCTCCAGTGGAAAACCTTTCCCTTCCCTGAATTCCCATGGATTTCTCCAGTGGAAAACCTTTCCCTTCCCATGAATTCCCATGGATTTCTCCAGTGGAAAACCTTTCCCTTCCCATGGATTTCTCCAGTGGAAAACCTTTCCCTTTCCCTGAATTCCCATGGATTTCTCCAGAGGAAAACCTTTCCCTTCCCATGAATTCCCATGGATTTCTCCAGTGGAAAACCTTTCCCTTCCCTGAATTCCCATGGATTTCTCCAGTGGAAAACCTTTCCCTTCCCATGAATTCCCATGGATTTCTCCAGTGGAAAACCTTTCCCTTCCCATGGATTTCTCCAGTGGAAAACCTTTCCCTTTCCCTGAATTCCCATGGATTTCTCCAGTGGAAAACATTTCCCTTCCCATGGATTTCTCCAGTGGAAAACTTTTCCCTTCCCCTGAATTCCCATGGGTTTCTCCAATGAAAACGTTTCCCGTGCCCTGAATTCCCATGGATTTCTCTTGGGGAAAACCTTTTCCTTTTCATGGATTTCTCCAATGAAAACCTTTCCCTTCCCCTGAATTCCCATGGATTTCTCTGAGGCAGGGCTCCAGCTCTCCAGCCCGGGGTCCCTGCCAGGGCTGGGCTTGGGGTTCCCAGCCCTTTTGCAGCCCCCTGTGTGTTCCAGGTGTTTTCCTACACGGCGGACAAGGAGATCCGCACGGACGACCTGTGCCTGGACGTGTCGCGGCTCAACGGCCCCGTGCTCATGCTCAAGTGCCACCACCTGAGGGGCAACCAGCTCTGGGAGTACGATGCTGAGGTATCCCGGGCCCGGGGGGCGGTTCTGCCACTATCCCAGGATCCCTGAGGCTGGAGAAGCTCTCCCAGCCCATGGAGTCCCAGCTGTGCCCATCCCCACCCTGTCCCCAGCCCCAAGTGCCACCTCCAGGAATTCCTGGGACACCTCCAGGGATGGGCTCTGCAAACCTCCCTGGGCAGCTCCAATCCCTGAGCACCCTTGCCAGGAAGAATTTACCCCCCGCAGGGCCAGGGGTTGGATCAGTGATCCCTGTGAATCCCTTCCTGCTCAGAATTCCATGATTTTTTTCCTGGATAATTGCCACTTTTTGTCCCCAATCGCTGCGTCCCTGCAAAGCTGGGGAATTTCCATCCTGGGAGAGCTGAGGGGGTTGCACAAAAAATGTTCCTTGGATCACTGACTCCGCTTTCCTTCTGTCTTCCCTTCCCCCAGTATTTTGGGAAATGGGAGTATAGCTTTGAGGTAAGTCTGGTGCAATCCCTGTGCCAAATCCCAATCCCTGGAGTAGCTCCTGTAGCAGTGCCCTCACTCAGTGCTTCTCCATAGCTGCTGCTCCAACATTCCAGAGCTTCCTGCTCCCTGAGCCAGGCTGGGAGAGCTGGGAATGTTCCCCTGGAGAAGGGAAGGATCCAGGGAGAGCTCAGAGCCCCTGGCAGGGCCTGAAGGGGCTCCAGGAGAGCTGGAGAGGGACTGGGGACAAGGCATGGAGGGACAGGAGCCAGGGAATGGCTCCCACTGCCAGAGGGCAGGGATGGATGGGAGATTGGGAACTGGGAATTCCTGGCTGGGCTGGAATTCCCAGAGCAGCTGGGGCTGCCCCTGGATCCCTGGAGTGTTCCCAGGCCAGGCTGGACAGGGCTGGGAGCAGCCTGGGACGTGTCCCTGCCATGGCAGGGGTGGATTGGATGGGGTTTAAGGTCTTTCCACCCCGAAGCATTCCATGAATCCGTGTACCAGGAAAAGCCTGCTCAGATTGCCACATTTGTGTTTATCCCCGTGCGAGGAATCCCCTACCTTTGGGTATTTCATATCCTGTGAACACCAGAGAGAGAATTCCAAGTCCTGTACTGGTGGAGCTCTGCTTTTCCTGGAAGGATTGATGGACAGGAGGGAACAGGGAGTGCTGATCCGGAGGGATCCAGCACTGCTGTCCCTGCCCGTGACTCCAAGTGACATTTTGGGGACACTTGGCTCTGGTATTTTTAGTGGCTCCTTTATCCTCACATCACTTTTTCCATTCCTAAGCCAAAAACATGGAAAAGGAGCCGGTGAGGGATGTGGGAGAAGCATTCCAGCTGCTCCAGAGTGATGGGGCGACAGTGGGAAGAATTTAGGGAAGTGGAAGCTCCCCTTCATCTCACCCCACCTGGAATTGGCACCGGAATGGAAAAGCTGGAATTGTGAAAAACAAAAAAACAAAACAAAACAAACAAAAAAAAAAAAAACCCCAAAACAAACAAAACCTCTCATAAATGTTTAATGAATTCTGGTTTTAACTGGGTAATTCCCAAATGGGGTTCAGGGTGGTTTGTGCAGGAAAAACCCCAGCTGTGCCCAGACCTTTCCATGGGGAATCACAGCCATCCAAGGGCTTGGAGAGGCAGTATTTCGAGCCATGCCCAATGATGGATCATGGGAATGGGCTCAAGAGCAGGGAGGAAATTTTGGGATATTTGTGCAGAACAAAACCCATTTCTGCCTGGATCTTCCCGATGGGGAATTGCAGCAATCCAAGGAGTTGGAGGAGCAGGACTGGGAGCCACAATCTGCACTGGGTCATGGGAATGCCCTCAAGAACAAGGTGGAAGTTTTGGGATATTTCTGCTAGGAAAACCCAACTCTGCCTGGATCTTCCCATCAGGGATCTTTCCATCAGGGAATTGCAGCAATCCAAGGGTAGGGAGAATGGGACTGGGAGCCACAGTCTGGATCATGGGAGTGCTCTCAAGAGCAGGGAGGAAATTTTGGGATATTTCTAGGAAAACCCCATCTCTGCCTGGATCTTCCCATCAGGGATCTTTCCATCAGGGAATTGCAGCAATCCAAGGGTAGGGAGAATGGGACTGGGAGCCACAGTCTGGATCATGGGAGTGCTCTTAAGATCAAGGTGGGAAATTTTGGGATATTTCTAGGAAATATCTTTGGATCTTCCCAGCATGGAATTGCAGCAATCCAAGGGTAGGGAGAATGGGACTGGGAGCCACAGTCTGGATCATGGGAGTGCTCTTAAGATCAAGGTGGAAGTTTTGGGATATTTCTGCTAGGAAAACCCCATCTCTGCCTGGATCTTCCCAGCAGGGAATTGCAGCAATCCAAGGGCAGGGGGAACAGGATTGGGAGCCAGAGTCTGGATCATGGGAATGCCCTCAAGAGCAAGGTGGAAGTTTTAGGATATTTCTAGGAAAACCCCATCTCTGCCTGGATCTTCCCAGCAGGGAATAGCAGTAATCCAAAGGTAGGGAGAACGAGCCACAATCCACTCTGGATCATGGGAGTGCTCTCAAGAGCAAGGTGGAAGTTTTAGGATATTTCTAGGAAAACCCCATCTCTGCTTGGACCTTCCCAGCAGGGAATTGCAGGAGAGCACAGGATTGGGAGCCACAATCCACTCAGGATCATGGGAACGCTCTCAAGAGCAGGGAGGAGATTTTGTGTGCCATTCAATCCCATCCCACGAATTCCCCTCCGGACCTCCCCGCTGATCCCCGGCTCATTCCCGGCCCGTTCTCCACGAGCAATTCCCGGTTCTCCCCGCCGTTCCCGCTGAGCGTTCCCGCTTTTCCAGAGGCGCACGTTCCTGCACATCATCACGCAGTCGTGCCTGACGCTGGGCAGGGTGGAGGACGGCTCCCAGGGCCCCACGGTGGAGGCCTGCGACGGGAGCCCCCTGCAGAGCTGGATCCTCAGGAATTACTCCCGCCTGGAAGTCTTTAGGAAGGTTTACTCCAGCCCCACGGATTATTTCCTGTAGGGGCGTCGGGACTGGGAGGAAATCTAGGATGTGGTAAGGAATTGCCAGGAAATCTTCCTGCTCTGGGCTCTGCTGGAGGAGCTCGGCGGAGTTTCTGTCTTGTTTTAGTTTTGGGCGGAATTTTTGTGGTTTTGAAACGTTTTTTTGGCGGTTTTGGAAATGTTCGTATTTCGTGGAATTGGTGGATCTTCATGGAATACTTCAGGGAATTTTAAAAGAATGTTTGAAACACTTTTTCACGCAGTTTTCATTGTTTCGTGTCATTTTTCATACAATTTGCATAAAATTGTTCATAAAAATTCATAAAATTTTCATCGAATTTTCATGGATCTTTTGTAGAGTTTTCAGAGAATTTTATTACAATTTTTCATATAATTTTCATACAATTATTGTATATAATTTTTCATGGATTTTTCACAGAATGTTCACAGATTTTTTTTGTAGAATTATAATAGGATTTTTAATATATTTTTAACATATTTTTATAAAATTTAATATGATTTTTAATAGGATTTTCGTATAATTTAATAGAACCTTTCATATCAATTTTTTTCTATAAAACAAGACAGAAGATTATTTTATAGCTGTAGGATAGAACAGATGTTTAATGTTAGTTCTTAGTAATTATTAGTTACTAGTAATTATTGGTGTTAATTATTGCTAGTTTTAATTAATTTTGGATGAATTAAACTCCCTTGATCTCTTGCTATCACCATGATTATTCCAAGCTGCAGGAGCTGAAGATTTGGTTCCTGTTCCAAGACAGAAAAATAATTCCAATTGCAAAATATTTTCTCAAAAAGGTTCCGTTTTTCCTAGGATTTTCCCTAGAATTTTCCTAGAATTTGATTTTTTAAATAGATTTTTTTTCCTATCATTTTCATGGAATTTTTCCTATTCATTGGAGTAGCATAAGGAGATGGGTGGTAAGAAAACCAAATTCCTTGTTGGAATTTCCCACCAGTTTAGTTGGAACACCAGAAAAAAGTCTTATTTATATACATATATTTAAATTTATATATATATATATGTATATATTTTATATTTTTTATTTCTATATAAAAACAAAATATATAGGAATATAATTGATATAAATTTACACTAATAAACACCTATGTGTTTATTAAGTAATATATAAACATACTGCTGTATTTTTCAGTAAATATAATATTACACAGAAATATTATAAATAATGAAGATAAATGGTGTTTCTGAGCCATGAGAGCATCAGCCTCTTGCAAAAATGATTTCTGATTTTCCTTCAGTTAAGGATATTATTATATTTTTTATTTTCATTTATATTTGATATTATTCTTTGCTATATGATTTTTTATTATTTTATATATTTCTAGATTATATTATTTAATCTATTTTTAGTCCCTTACATTTTGTATTCTATATTATTTTTTATATTTATTTATATTGCACATATAGTAATCTATATTATATTATTTAATATATTAATTTGATATTATCTATAATTTAATATTTTATTTTTATCTATATTAATTGGTTTGTATAATTAATTAATTAATTAATTTATATTAATATTTATCTTCCTGGGTGAGCCCAAGACCTCAAGCAGCTCCCACCATTCCAGCCCCTCTATCCCTGAGGAAATCCCAAGGTTTGACATCAGCCTGGGCTGTTTGGGATGAATTCTGGGATTCGTTCCTCCTTTCTACCCTCTCCTGAGGGCTCCAGAATTTTCCTGCCCATCCTGGTTTTCCCTGATTGTTCCCTTGCCATAAAATTGGGCTCTGCTCCAGTGGATGATCTGCAGATGGGATTTCCACCCTGAAATTCCCCATTCCCAGGGTTCTTGGGAGAGCTGGGAATGTTCCCCTGGAGAAGGGAAGGCTCCAGGCAGAGCTCAGAGCCCCTGGCAGGGCCTGAAAGGGCTCCAGGAGAGCGGGAGAGGGACTGGGGACAAGGATGGAGGGACAGGAGCCAGGGAATGGCTCCCACTGCCAGAGGGAGATTGGGAACTGGGAATTCCTGGCTGGGAGGGTGGGCAGGCCCTGGCACAATCCCAGGGAATGGTGGTGGGAATGCTCCTGGCTCAGCTGGGACTGAACCTCTCTGGTGTTGCTTAAGGACAGAATTTCCTGTTTAACTTCCTGGGATTTCTCTGGGAATTTGTTCTCCCCGTGGAACAAGTGGTGTTTTATTCCTTTCAATACGTTTTGTGTCCTGATTCTCCCATCCCAAAGAAACGTGGTGGGATCAGAGGGTGCGATACAGGTGGTGTTTTATTCCTTCCAATTTGTTTTGTGTCCTCCTGATTCTCCCATCCCAAAGAAACGTGGTGGGATCAGAGGGGGTGTCCCAAGGAGAGATGCCCTGGGAACAAGAGCGTTTCCATGGAATACTGAGCAAATACATCCCCATCAGCATCAATTCCTGCTCCGGTCCCAAACTTTCCACGTGTCCATGGCCGTGGAGACCAAACTCCTCCATCCAACAGCTGTGCCTTGGAGATACAAGATTTCCTTGGAGTTATTTTCCCTTTGTTGGTTCGGCAGAGGGAGGAGCGGGCGGCTCCGGTGGGACGCGGTGGCGACGTCCCGGAGCTCCGGCAGCCTGCTCCACCAAACCAGGCCAGCAAATCGCATTCCCCGGTTGGAATTCCATCGGAATGCTGCGTTTCAGCAGGAATTCTCTGTCCCCTTCCCCTTGCAGAAGCTCACCCTGAGGCACCTGAACAGCAACCAGTGCCTGGCGGAGCCGTCGGAGGAGGACCGGCTGGTGCCCACCATGCGCGACTGCGGCGGCGGCCGCGCCCAGCAGTGGCTGCTGCGCAACATGACCCTGGGGGCCTGATTCCCGCCTCTCATCCCGCTTGTTCCCGCTTCTCCTGCTGCGCCCGGCGGTGCCCGGCCCTCTCCCGGGCCCAGCAGAGTCGCCGGGGGGGTTCCTGGTGCCGCGGTGCCCTTGGACTCCTCCGGGCCTCCGGGTGATCCAAGACGTGCTGGTACCGACGCCAGCGGGCTCCAGATTCCAGAGGCAGCAGCTGACCTTGGAGAAGGTGGGATATGGAGGCATTGTTGTCACTCCAGAGGTGCCAGCTGACCTTGGAAAAGGTGGGATATGGAGGCATTGTTGTCACTCCAGAGGTGCCAGCTGGCCTTGGAGAAGTTGGAATATGGAGGCGTTGCTGCCACTCCAGATTCCCGAGGCAGCAGCTGACCTTGGAGAAGTTGGGATATGGAGGCATTGCTGCCACTCCAGAGGTACCAGCTGACCTTGGAAAAGGTGGGATATGGAGGCATTGTTGTCACTCCAGAGGTACCAGCTGACCTTGGAGAAGTTGGGATATGGAGGCGTCGCTGTCACACGTCCCCACAGAGAGGTGGCCCAGTCCAAAGGCCCTGTGGCACCAGCTGGCACTGGGAGCCATCCTGGGAGGTGTGGTCTGAGCTGATGGGATGTGCCGGGCTCTCCTGGAGGAGATCCTGGAGAATATCCTGGGGAATCTTGGAGTGGTCTCTCGTGCCCAGTGGGATTTGACAGCACCAAAGCTTCCTGGGTTGTGCTGAGAAAAAACGGGATCCAGTGTTGGGGAAACCAGGCCAGGACTGCACTTCAGCACGAATTCCAACAGATGAGGCCACAGGAGACACGGGAATGCTGAGGGGAAGGAGTGACACTCATGGGACCTCGGAGGAAGCTGTCCTCTCCTTCCATGGGGATGGGGCTGGGGCCGGACCTGGAACGACCAAAACTGAGACCTCTGGAGCTTGGAGGGTCTCCATCCCTCCATCCCAACGCATCCATGAATCCCTGCATCCCAGCTCTGTCCCTGGATCCACTCCCAGCTCTGCCTCCAGGTGTTCCCTGGAATCCCAGAGGCTCCTTTCTGGTTTCAGGAATTCGGGGGCTCGATCCTTTTGTGGGTGTGGCTGTTCCCAAAGTGCTGCTGGCACTCGGGAGCTGCTCCCCCTGGGATGTGGGGACGGGGACATTCCCAGAACGTGCTGGGGACATTCCTTTGGGAGCCACCCCTAATGCAGCTGTGGCCCTCTGGGCTGGGATTTTGGGAATTCTCACTGCCCAGAGGATTCAGGAGACTGAAATCCCAGGGCAGCGGGATCCCAGCACGGGTAAGTGGGGAAATATTTCCCAGGATTTCCCTCACAATTCCCAGCAATCTCTGTAAAATGCACTGGGTCATTAAAAATGCTGGTATTTTCTGTATCTGCTCTGGTGGTTCTGGATTCATGCCGGGGTTTATGGGTGTGTAAATGACAGAGGATATCTGCTGGATCCAGAGCATTACATGGGAAGCAGGAGGGAGTTCAGCTGGGAAGGGGGTTGCTGGGCATGCATGGAGCTGGAATATCCTGGATTAACTCGGATTGGGGCTCATCTCCAGCCTCCTGCCCAAATATTCCTGCTCCTCATCCTCCAGTCACTCTAAAAATACAAAATGTGGTTTAAAAGATCCCGCAGAAAAGGGGGAGGTTTTGTTCTGCTTCGTAAAAAGAGCAGGAAAACATCAGGATGAAATTGAAACAGGCATTTCCATGCAGGAAAAGAGGAATCAGTTATTTATTTCATCTCCTTCCCGAGGGTTTTGTTCACACCACAGCCCTGGGTGGGTCCCGTGGCCGGGAATTGGGGTTGGGTTGGGAAGGAGGAGGTGGGGAATGTCCTGGGGACAGTGGGAGAGGGCGGTGTCACCTCCCTGTGGAGCACCCCTGGCTCCAAAGGGGGACAGCTCCACATTCCCAACGCTGCCCTGTCCCATCCCAAGGTTCCTTGACATCAGAGCCGGAGCTATTTACAAAATGAGGATTTTATAAATAGAATTTCTATATTAATATATAATTCTGTAATTCGTCCTACACTGCTGCAGTGCCCTTCAATCAATCAAGTCACAAAAGGACTAATTATTAACTCGTTTAATGAGATGCCCCACATCCAGAGTTGCTCCCTTGTCCAAAAAACATGGAAAAACCCCACCTAAAATCCCTCTTCTCAGTAATTCCCTGTTCCAGGTTGTCCCTGCAGGTGTGTGGGGGGTTGGAGCTGCAGGTGACACCAAACCCTGGTGAGGCTCAGCCTCCCCTGCTGGTAATTAAAGCCTTCAGAGGTAATTAACTGCTCCTGTTAATGATGGGCTGCGGAGCCTGGGAATGAATCACCCAATAATCCCTTTGGGAGGGATGAATGCAGGCATGGAGGTATTTCCCCTTTTTTTTGGAATTTCTCAGAAATGTTAATAATTAGGATTGACTGAAAAATTGCAGTGAGGGAACCAACCTCCATCTCATTTCCCTGGAAATTTGATTTATCCCTTTTTTTGGGATTTATTTGAGGGATTTAGGGATTTGTCCAGAGGGGATGAATCTTAGGATATTTTTGAGGTCAGGAATATCCTGGTACTGGTGCCATGACTGCCTGCTCCAACTCCCATTTCAAACTGGAAATGGTTTTTCCAAGAGAAAAGAGCAGGATCTGCCCTCAAATCCATATCCAGGCAGTGGGACTGGAAGAGACAGGTTTGGGAATGTCTCTGCTAATTCAGGGAATACATAATTAATTTCATCATTTCATTTGTCATGGTCCCCACATCAGCTAAAGCCTGGGAAAGCCTCCAGGTGCTGAAATCAGGGAATTGCAGGGAAAGGAGCTCCAGGGGGAGCCCCTGCCCAGGTGAGTTTAGATGGATCTAAACACAAACCTCGGACCTGGAATGGGAAACCTCACCTGGAACGTTCAGCTGGGATGGCAGCAGGGGAAGGTGGGGTTTGTGGGATGGTCACCACAGGAGGATGTGGAGCTGCTGGAGAGCCCAGAGGAGCCATGGAGCCAGGCTGGGAGAGCTGGGAATGTTCCCCTGGAGAAGGGAAGGCTCCAGGCAGAGCTCAGAGCCCCTGGCAGGGCCTGAAGGGGCTCCAGGAGAGCTGCAGAGGGACTGGGGACAAGGCATGGAGGGACAGGAGCCAGGGAATGGCTCCCACTGCCAGAGGGCAGGGATGGATGGGAGATTGGGAACTGGGAATTCCTGGCTGGGCTGGAATTCCCAGAGCAGCTGGGGCTGCCCTGGATCCCTGGCAGTGCCCAAGGCCAGGCTGGACCTCCCTGGGACAGTGGGATTTGTCCCTGCACAGCAGGATCAGCTGGGAACTCCATCATTCCAGGGAAAGAGCTCTGCCAGGGCTTCCTGGAGCAGCTTCCTGTCACCAGGGCCCTTTGGGTGACATTGTTCCATGCTCACCATTCCTTTCCCACTCCCACTGTTCCCTCATCCCACCCCAGCTGGCAGAACATGCTGGGAATCTGCTCATCCCCCTAAAAGCAATGGTGATTTTAATTGCAGTAATTACAGGGAATGGCTCCCCTTGGATTGTCACTGTCACATTGGGATGGATCACAGGGAATCTTTGCCCAATTCCAGCCCAGGGAAAGGCCTCTGGGAAAACAGGAGGGATGGAGGAAGGAGAAACAGGAGAGGGGAAGCTGGCAAGGCTGCTGGATCTGTGAGCCAGGAGGGTTCTGGCAGCATGGCCAGAGTTTGGGATGAACTCCATGCAAAATTTCCTTTAATTGGGTGGGAAAATTAACAGGCATTGTGTAAATTGCAGGGAAAAAGGGGCGGGGTGGGGGGGGTGGGAACAGAGAGATTGGGAATAGGAAACAGAAAAGTGAGAAACTAAATTAATTTTCTGGCAGGGGGAAAAAAAAAAAGGTAGAATAGAAATGCAGTGGCAAGAAAAATCCTTGGGAATCAGTTCTGAGGAAGGTGATGGTTAAAAAACGAGGTGTGGCTGGGCTTTATCCCATGGTTAAAGCTGCCAGTCCAAGTTTTTCCTGGAGCTGATGGCCGTGGATACAGCCTGGCCCTTGGGAGCATCACCAGCCCCTTCCCACCCCAACTGCTCCATGATTCCCTGGGGATTTATCCACATTTTGGGGCTGGTTTCCTGCTTCCCGCCAGTTCTGGATCAGGGCTGAGCTTTGTGGCTTCTCTTAGGGAATTTCTTCCCAGGTGGAAGGGGCTGTGTCCCCTCTGTGTCCTGGCAGTGCTGCGTGGCTGCTGTGGGGATCTCAACGTCTTAAAAACTTCAATTAGAACACAATGAAGGTAAAAACGGGATAAAAGGAAAGGGAATGGAAATAAATAGAATAGAAATAGAATAGAATAAAATAGAAATGGAATAGAATAGAAATTACTAGAATAGAAATAGAATAGGAATAGAATAGAAATAAATAGAATAAGAATAAGAATAGAATAGAATAGAATGGAATAGAAGAGTTGGGGGTACCCGATCTCCCCTCCTGGCTGGTTTTGTTAGGAGCCGGAGCCCCTCCGAGGGAGGAGGGATGGAGCCCCGGGGGAGGATGCTGGGGAGAGGAAGATGAGGAGGAGGAGGACGAGCGAAGGAAGGATGCTGGGGGGAGGATGAAGGGGAGGATGAAGATGCGGAGCGCACCGAGGATGCGGAGGGCGGGCTGTGCGCGGGGTCGCTGCGCGCAGAGACGCGCAGGGTCAGAGGGGGCGATGGCGGGTGCGGGTCCAGGGGCGGGACAGGGGCGGTGCGGGAGGAGTGTCGCTGCGCGGGGCGTTGCGCGGGGCGGTGCTGCCCTGCCCGGGGCCGCTGCCGGCGGCTCCGCGTGGGAGGCGGTGGCTCCGCGGATTTTGCGGGGTATCAGTGGCTCCGCGGATTTTGCGGGCTGTCTGTGGCTCCGCGGGTTTTGCGGGCTGTCGGTGGCCGCGCGGATTTTGCGGGCTGTCGGTGGCTCCGCGGATTTTGCAGGGTATCGGTGGCCCCGCGGATTTTGCGGGGTATCAGTGGCTCCGCGGATTTTGCGGGCTGTCTGTGGCTCCGCGGATTTTGCTGGCAGCGGGTGGCTCCGCGGGTTTTCCGGGCTGTCTGTGGCTCCGCGGGTTTTCCGGGCTGCGGGTGGCTCCGCGGGTTTTGCGGGGTATCGGTGGCTCCGCGTGTTTTCCGGGCTGCGGGTGGCTCCGCGGGTTTTGCGGGGTATCGGTGGCTCCGCGGGTTTTCCGGGCAGCGGGTGGCTCCGCGGGCTGCGCGGGGCTGCGCGGAGCATGTCGGCGCTGCGGCGCAAGCTGGGCGATGAGTACCAGGTGGTGAGCACCTCGGCCAGCGGCGGAGGCCTCCCGCCCCCGCGCAGTGCCCCGCGCGGGAAGCGCCAGCGCTTCGTGGACAAGAACGGGCGCTGCAACGTGCAGCACGGCAACCTGGGCGGCGAGACCAGCCGCTACCTGTCCGACCTCTTCACCACGCTGGTGGACCTCAAGTGGCGCTGGAACCTCTTCATCTTCATCCTCACCTACACCGTGGCCTGGCTCTTCATGGCCTCCATGTGGTGGGTGATCGCCTACATGCGCGGGGACCTCAACAAGGCGCACGACGACAGCTACACGCCGTGCGTGGCCAACGTCTACAACTTCCCCTCCGCCTTCCTCTTCTTCATCGAGACCGAGGCCACCATCGGCTACGGCTACCGCTACATCACCGACAAGTGCCCCGAGGGCATCATCCTCTTCCTCTTCCAGTCCATCCTGGGCTCCATCGTGGACGCCTTCCTGATCGGCTGCATGTTCATCAAGATGTCGCAGCCCAAGAAGAGGGCCGAGACGCTGATGTTCAGCGAGCACGCCGCCATCTCCATGCGCGACGGCAAGCTCACGCTCATGTTCCGCGTGGGCAACCTCCGCAACAGCCACATGGTGTCCGCCCAGATCCGCTGCAAGCTGCTCAAGGTGGGTGCTCCGCGGGGAAGTTCCTTCCTGGAAAGCCGCCCGGGGCGGTGGTGGAGTCCCCATCCCGCGTGGAGGTGGCGCTTGGGGACGTGGGGGTCTCAGCAGTGCTGGGCATGGTTGGGATGGTTGGACTTGATGGCCTTGGAGGGCTTTTCCAACCTCAGTGATTCCGTGGGGGCCATTGCAGTGCTGGGAATGGTTGGATTCCGTGGTCCTGGGTGGCTTTTCCAACCTCAGTGATTCCATGGGGGCCATTGCAGTGCTGGGAATGGTTGGATTCCGTGGTCCTGGGTGGCTTTATCCAACCTCAGTAATTCCATGGAGCCCCAACAGTGCCGGGAATAGTTGGATTTTGTGGTCCTGGGTGGCTTTTCCAACCTCAGTGATTCCATGGGGGCCTTGGCAGTGCTGGGAATGGTTGGATTCCGTGGTCCTGGGTGGCTTTTCCAACCTCAGTAATTCCATGGAGCCCCAACAGTGCTGGGAATAGTTGGATTTTGTGGTCCTGGGTGGCTTTTCCAACCTCAGTAATTCCATGGAGCCCCAACAGTGCTGGGAATAGTTGGATTTTGTGGTCCTGGGTGGCTTTTCCAACCATAGTAATTCTGTGAGTCTTGGGGTGGCTGGGATGGTTGGATTTCGTGCTCTTGGGGTCTTTTCCAGCCTAAACAATTCCATGGTTCTGTGACAGAGCCATGGCCCCACTGCCGTTTCCCCTAGGGACATCCCACCCCCCTCTCCGTGTCCCTTGGACATCCCTCACTCCTGCCAGTGGCTGTCCCCACATCCCTGGGGCTTGGAGCAGCCCAGGGTGGCCCTGGCCGTGGCCAGGGGTCGGGCTGGATGATCCCAGATCGTGTTTTGGGTCCTGCTGCTGTCCCAGCATCCCTGTCCTGTTTTCCTGGTGCAGGGAACATCTCCGGGAGCCTCGGGCTGCGGGCTCAGCCATCAGCATTCCCAGCCTCCTTGGAGATAATTCCTACATTCAGCGCAGGATTGGGATGGATATTTATAGATTCCTATAAAATGCTCCATTTCCCTGACAAGGAAATCCTTTGTAGCTCCGAGCCTTCCGCGAGTCGGGAAGGAGAAAGCTCCGGGCATAATCCAGAGCTTTTTGGGCAGCCCTGAGCCCAGCCAGGCTGAACTTTATTGACGTGAGCTCCAAGGAAAGCAGAGTGCCAGGCTTAGACCTGGAGCATCCCTGCCCTGGAGGGCTGGGAAAAGCCGGCGCTGCTCTGAGGCTCGCCCGGGGCCGCGGATCCCGAGGGGAGAGGGAATCGGGAATAGGGAATGGGGATGGGGACGGAGCGGGTGGGAGGAAGGAGCCGGCTCGGGGGGGCGTTTGCTGCGTGCCGAGCATCCCGCAGGGACCCTCGGGATTCGGGATAGGGGGGTGCTGGGCAGGGAATGGGGTGTCCTGTCCTTGGGATGGGTGTCCTGCAGGAAATGGGGGTGTCCTGTCCTTGGGGGGAGTATCCTCCAGGGAATGGGGTGTCCTGTCCTTGGGAGGATTGTCCTGCAGGGAATGGGGTGTCCTGTCCTTGGCATGGGTGTCCTGCAGGAAATGGGGGTATCCTGTCCTTGGGGGGAGTATCCTCCAGGGAATGGGGTGTCCTGCCATTGGAATGGGTGTCCTACAGGAAATGGGGGTGTCCTGTCCTTGGGATGGGTGTCCTGCAGGGAATGGGGTGTGATATCCTTGGGGGGGATTGCCCTGCAGGGAATGGGGTGTCCTGTCCTTGGGATGGGTGTCCTACAAGAAATGGGGGTGTCCTGTCCTTGGGGGGGACTGTCCTGCAGGGAATGGGGTGTCCTGTCCTTGGGATTGCAGTGCCCTTGGGATGGGTGTCCTGTCCTTGGGATGGGGTGGCTGCCAGGGAATGTGGGTGCTGATTCCATTGGAAGGGTATCCTGCAGGGATTGGGGGTGTCCTGCAGGGATTGGGGGTGTCCTGGTAGGACTGGGGATGTCCTGCAGGGATTTGGGATATCCTGCAGGGAATGGGGGTGTCCTGCAGGGAATGGGGGTGTCCTGCAGGGGTTTGGGATATCCTGCAGGGAATGGGGGTGCAGCTGTGTTGGATTTGGAGGTTCAAGATCGGAAGGGTCCTGCAGGGGTTTGGGATATCCTGCAGGGATTTGGGATGTCCTGCAGGGAATGGGGGTGTCCTGCAGGGATTGGGGGTGTCCTGCAGGGATTTGGGATATCCTGCATGCCCTTCCCTCGGGGTGTGGGTGCTGTGCAGAGCGGGGCAGGGTCCCCATTCCCAGGACAATCCCCTTGGGAATCTCCCTGTTTTCCTCCCCTCCCTGCAGCCCCGGGGACGGAGCTCAGCCCATGGGAGGCTCCTGAGCCTGTCCTGCTCTCCCAAATCCCTGTTTCCCTGGCATTGCAGGATCAGGACTGGCCCAAAACCCTAAATCTTGGGGGGTCCCCTAAACCTTGAGGGAGTCTGTGCCTAAAAGAGGGAAAGAATTCCTAAAAATCTCCCAAAAAAACCCTTGAATAGCTTTAAAATGATGGAGTATAATTTATAAATATTATAGCTATTATTTATAAGGATAAATATATAAAACAGCATTACAGAATAATACCATAGATTTATGTAATATGTGATCACAAATATTTATATTTAACAATATATAATTTATACAGTTTGTTTTAAAATATTTAATAATGTGTAAATATATAGTTCCACGCTATATAAATATATTTAAATCATTTATTTCAAGCTATAAACAATCAAAAATTAGTAATTTCCAGTCCAGCATATGAAAATTGCTTTTTTTTTTTCTTTTTTGGCTCTCGAAGTGCCAGAGGGGGAATTTTAAAAGTTGGAGCTTCAAATTCAGTGTGGCTCCAAAATAATTCCCTGGATTTGAATTATGGGAAAAGAAAGGTTTGTGCTTGGAAGAAAAGCAGTGCCAAGTCGGGCCTTCTGGGGGAAAAAAGGGAAGGGGGAAAAAAGTGGAAAAACTGATAATTAGAAGGAAAAAATGATAATTAGAAGGAAAAAAGGAGAAAAAAAGGAAAAATGGGGAAGAGAAAAATAAAAGGGAAAATAAAAGTGAAAAATAAAACGAAAAAAGCGAGGAAAATAAAAGGGAAAATAAAAGTGAAAAATAAAACGAAAAAAGCAGGGGAAAGGAAAGTGGAAGGGAAAATAAGAAGAAAAATAAAATTAAAAAGGGGAAAAGGAAAATAAAAGGAAAAAATTAAAGAAAAAAGGAAAGAGGAAATGGAAGGGAAAAAGGGTAAAAAAAGAAAAAAAGAATAAAAGAAAAAGGGAAGAAGAGGAGAAAAGGATAATGAAAGAAGGAAAAAAGATAAAAGGAAGGAGGGAAAATAAAAGGGACCCACAGCGAGGAGAATAAGAGAAAGCTAAAAGAAAATGAGGAAAAGGGAAAATAAAAGGAAGAAATACCGAGGGAATAAAAGGAAAAAATAAGAGAAAAGGAAAAGAAAAAAGAGGGGGAAGGGGGAAGAAGAAAAAAGGGGGAGAAGGGAACCAATAAATGGGAAAATAAGAGGAACAAGGAGGAAGCAGGGGTTGCAGCAGGAGAGCTGTCCCTGTTCCCGGGCCTGGCTTGGGGGGCACAGGGATGTGGGGCAGGAACTGGGAATTCCTCCCCAGAGCTCCTGTGCCAGGGGAGCTGCAGCCCAGAGGGCTCAGATTTCCTTGGGAAGGGTTTTTGTTAGGGAAAAGGTTCTTTTCCTGCAGAGCTGCGTGGAGCTGGGAATCCCAATCCTTTATTTTTCCTGCCAGGAGCAAAACCAACCACAAAGCCTTAAAGTGGGAAATCTGCACAAAGCCTCTTTTGCCGTAATGGGAATTTTGGGATGGATTTTTGGGATTGGGAGGAGCTTGGATGTCACTCAGAATTCCTGAGTTGTCCTCCCCCATCACTTGGAGCAAAGGAGTCACTCAGGGTTCATTCCCTCTGGAATTGCCTGGGGCTGGATTCTTCCCGGGACTCGGGGAGGTGTAAAATTAAGTTTGGTTTCTCTGGATTTGAGCTCTGGAATTCCATCTGAAGTCCCCGGGAGCAGCTGGGAGTGTGTGACATCCCAGCTGGATCCGGGAACACCTGGACCTGTCCCACAGCAGGGCTGGGAGGGATGTGCTGGATCCCCTGGGAATTCCAGGGATCCAGGGGGAGAGGGCAGTGATGGCGCTGTCAGAATTTAACCTGGAGCTAGATTGGACATTAGGAAAGATTTTTCCATGGGAAGGGAAAGGGAGGTCAGGCACTGGCACAGCTGCCCGGCAGGGCTGGAGCCACATTCCTGGAGGGATTGCAAAGCCATGGATGTGGCACTTGGGGACCTGGGGCAGTGCTGGGAATGGTTGGGAATCGATCCTGGAGGGCTTTTCCAACCCAAACTTCCTGGGATTCCACGATTTCCTTCCCCCACTGAAGCTCACCCTGTTTCCCTGGGCTGGCCAGCGCCGCGCTGTCCTTCACTCCCGGTTCCACCTGGGGAAACCCCAGAATCCTGGAATGTTCGGGCGGGAAGGGCTGTCAATCCCATCCCACAGGCAGGAATTCTGCTGTCCCAGGTCGCTCCAAGCCCTGTCCAAGCTCTCCCTGGGCACTCCCAGGGATGAGGAGCTCCAACGTCCCTTCCCCTCCTTGTCCCTCGCAGTCCCGCCAGACTCCGGAGGGAGAATTCCTGCCCCTGGATCAGCTGGAGCTGGACGTGGGCTTCAGCACGGGGGCTGACCAGCTCTTCCTGGTGTCCCCCCTGACCATCTGCCACGTCATCGACTCCAAGAGCCCCTTCTACGACCTGTCCCAGCGGAGCATGCACACCGAGCAGTTCGAGATCGTCGTCATCCTCGAGGGCATCGTCGAGACCACGGGTGAGTGGCACTGGCCTGGCTGCAATTCCTGCTGGCCTGGAGAGCCTGGAGCTCTCTGGAGAGCCTGGAGCTCCCTGGAGATCCCTGGAGAGCCTGGAGCTCCCTGCTGGCCTGGAGAGCCTGGAGCTCCATGGGGCTCTTGGCATGTTTGGAGTGCTTGGAGGCAGCCAGAGTTGGGGTTTTCTGCAGAGGGGTTTTGGCACTGGGGCTCTCTCCAGGGGATGGATTTTGGAGCTTTCTCCAGGGGAATGGATTTTGGTGCTGGGGTCTCTCTAGGGGGATGGATTTTGGCACTGGGGGTCTTCCAGGGGATGGATTTTGGTGTTGGTGCTCTCTCCAGGGGATGGATTTTGGTGCTCTCTCCAGAGGGACAGATTTTGGTGTTGGTGCTCTCTCCAAGGGGATGGATTTTGATGCTGGGGTCTCTCCAACGGGATGGATTTTGCTCCAGGAGGATGGATTTTGGCACTGGGGCTCTCTCCAGGGGATGGATTTTGGAGCTTTCTCCAGGGGAATGGATTTTGGTGCTGGGGTCTCTCTAGGGGGATGGATTTTGGCACTGGGGCTCTCTCCAGGGAATGGATTTTGGTGCTCTCTCCAGGGGGATGGATTTTGGCACTGGTGCTCTCTGCAAGGGGATGGGTTTTGGTGATCCAAGGGGATGGATTTTGGCACTAGGGCTCTCTCCAGGGGATGGATTTTGGTGTTGGTGCTCTCTCCAACGGGATGGATTTTGGCACTGGGGCTCTCTCCAAGGGGATGGGTTTTGGTGCTCTCTCCAACGGGATGGATTTTGGCACTGGGGCTCTCTCCAAGGGAATGGATTTTGGAGCTCTCTCCAGGAGGATGGATTTTGGGGCGCTCTCCAAGGGGATGGATTTTGGGACTCTCTCCAGGAGGATGGATTTTGATGCTGGGGTCTCTCCAACAGGATGGATTTTGGCACTGGTGCTCTCTCCAAGGGGATGGGTTTTGGTGCTCCCAGGGGATGGATTTTGGCACTGGGGCTCTCTCCAGGGGAGTGGATTTCGGCACTCCCAGGATGTGGGTTTGGAATGTGGAGCTCCCAGCTGGGATGTGGTGCTCCTGCATTTCCCAGCTGCTGCTGGACACAGGGAATGTTCAGGGTACCCCTGATCTGTTCTGGGGCCGTGTTCTGGAGTCCCAGTGTTCCCACCCTGCCTCCCCAGGGCAGGAGAGCACAGCCCAGAGGGAGGAAGATGAACCCTCTGAGTGCTTCCCTAAAAACTCCCTGATGTTTCCCCAAAATCCCTCTGATAATTTCCTGAAAAATCCTTGATATTCCTCTAAAACATCCTTGATATTCCTCTAAAAACTCCCTGATATTTCCATAAAACATCCCAGAGACTTCCCTCAAAACCCCTGATCTTTACTTACCAACCCCCTAACAGTTCCCTAAAATTTCCTTGATGTTCCTCTAAAAACTCTTTGGTATTGTCATAAAGACTCCCTGATGTCCCCATAAAAACTCCCTGATATTTCCCTTAAAAATTCCTGATACTTCCCTAAAAACTCCCTGACATTTCCCCTGAATTGAAATTCTGAACCTCCATGATATTTCCCTAAAAAATTTCCTGATACTTGGTTAAAAACCTCCATGATACTTCCCTTAAAAATCCCTAATATTTTCATAAAGACTTCCTGATATTTCCTCCAAATTCCTGGATCCTTCCCTAAAAACTCCCTGACATTTCCCTATAAACTCTCTGACATTTCCTTAAATCCCCCTGGCACTTCCCTAAAATCTCCTTGATATTTCCCTATAAACTCCCTGATATTTCCCTAAAAAATTTGTGCTATTGCCAAAAAAATTCCCTGGAAAAGCTCATGGGAAATTTCCAGTCCTGACCTGCAGACCAGACATTGCAGATTTCTTGTTTTTATTCCTAAAAAAAATTAATTCCAAACAAAATGAGAGAAGAAAAGCTCTTTTTTAAGTAACTTGGAATTTTAAACCCTGGCTTTGTTTTGGGAAATATTATTAACCTGGAAATTATACAGGGAATAGGGGAGAAAAAAAAAAAAAAAGGAATTTCTGGTTCTTTAAAGCCTAACTGGGATAAGGTTCCAAATGTTGTGACCTATTTTTGGGAGCTGAGCTGAAAATTGGACAAAAAATAGAGCAAAATGTGCTGGATGTGGATGACACAGGAGGGAATGAAAGGGTTGGGAAAATCTTCCAGTGGGAGCGAAGGGAGGAGGAGGAGGAGGAGAGGGCAGGGCTGGGTTTGAGGGATGGGAGAGCTCATCCAGGGGTGCTGTGGTTTTTAGGGAAGGGGGGCCACCTCCGTGGGTTTAAATCCTGCAGAAATTCCAGCTTCTCCTCTCAGCTCCAGGCTTTTCCCAGCAAATGCTGCATTTTCCCTCCCATCCTTCACCTGGAAGCCCAAAGCTCTGGAAAAGCAGAGGTTTTCCTGTGGGAAGGTGCATGAGCAAAGCCTGGCATCCCTGGATATAAATGGCCATTAAATACTGGGAATAATGGGATGCATTTCCTATGGGTCACATCCCTGGGTGCTTCTGGGAAGGGAAAATGGGATTCATTCAGGGGTTTTGGAGAGGTTGAGTGGGGTACTGGGAATGTGACCTTGGAATTGGGATGAAGGCCTGGAAGGATCAGCCTCAGCTTTGACAGGACCTGTAAAAAGTTTAACAATTTACAAATCCCAGGGTTTTTTTTAGCTCTTTGTGGAATAATTTGGAGGGAATTCAGCTGGACCACCTTGTCCAGACCCTGCTGTGGCCAGGAGAGCTTGGAGCAGATGATCCATGAGGCCAGCCTGGCCTTGGTCACTTGCAGGGATGGGGTAAGAGATGGGAGGGAACTGAAGGCACTGACGGGATCAGGATTCAGGGATGTGTTTCTCCCTCTCTATTTTACATGATTTATAGTAATCAAGGATTTAGGAATCCAAATATCCATGGTTTGGGTCGGCTTTGCTGTGGATTTGGAGCCTCCAGGTTGGCTCCAGCAACTTTCCTTCCTTTAATCATTGAAGGATCCAGTTTCCTTCCCATTTCCCAGGTTATTCCCATTCCATTCCTCCCCCATCTCCCTGTGCTGCAAATCCCTCCCAGATTACAACCAGGATCACAAGTGTTGGGCGTTTCTCCCTCTAATATTATAATAAGCAGGGATTTAGGAATGTGAATATCCGTGGTTTGAGGCACTTCTCTCTTTTCCTGTGGATTTGCAGCCTCCTGGTTGGGAGGAATTTTTCCCTTGAACTTCCTTCCCTGCTTTAATCCTTGCCTTTGATCAGCTGCAGCACTGGGGGGTTTGGCTAAGGAGGGAATATTCCCAGTAAATCTGGCTGGGCCTGGCTGCAGAGGCACTGGAGGGGTTTTGGGAGATGCCTGCTGAGGGAAGTGGGATCTTCCTGCTGCTCAGTCCCACCTGGCTGATGGAAATCCCCCTTTCCAACGCCTTCCCTCCTGGAACAGCATCCAGACGGTTTCATCCTGCCTGGATGGAGCTCATGTGCTGCTCCTCATTGCAGCTGGAATTCTGGGAAGCATCCACATCCCTTCCTGCTGTCCTCACCCTCCCTAGTGCCAGGCTTTGGGCTCTTTGGGGGAAAAGGTGTGGGAAGTGGATCCAGCCAATTCCTGTAGGGAGGAGGGAAGCTGGGAGCTCCTGATCCTTGCTGGAATTCCCTGAGCGCTCCTGATCCTTGCTGGAATTCCCTGAGAGCTCCTGATCCTTGCTGGAATTCCCTGAGGGCTCCTGATCCTTCCTGGAATTCTCTGAGCGCTCCTGATCCTTGCTGGAATTCCCTGAGCGCTCCTGATCCTTGCTGGAATTCCCTGAGAGTTCCTGATCCTTGCTGGAATTCCCTGAGGGCTCCTGATCCTTCCTGGAATTCCCTGAGTGCTCCTGATCCTTGCTGGATGTCCGTGAGCGCTCCTGATCCTTGCTGATGTCCCTGGGAGCTCCTGATCCTTGTTGGAATTCCCTGAGAGTTCCTGATCCTTGCTGGAATTCTCTGAGCGCTCCTGATCCTTGCTGGAATTCCCTCAGGGCCCCTGCTCCTTCCTGGAATTCCCTGAGTGCTCCTGATCCTTGCTGGAATTCCCTGAGCGCTCCTGATCCTTGCTGGAATTCCCTGAGCGCTCCTGATCCTTGTTGGAATTCCCTGAGAGTTCCTGATCCTTGCTGGAATTCTCTGAGTGCTCCTGATCCTTGCTGGAATTCCATGGGGAGAGCAGCAGGGCTGAGCTGAGCTCTCCTTCCCTCCCCAAATTCCAGCCAGGAATGTGTTTAGGGATGTGTCTCCTCTGAGGGGTTTTTTAGGAGTCACAGGAGGGGTCCCGGCCCAGGATGGTGGAGGTGATTCCTTGGGATGGTTTTAACTAAAAAAAGAAAATATTTGGATGGATATTGGGAAGGAATTCCTGGCTGGGAGTGTGTGGAGGGCTGGGCTGGAATTCCCAGAGCAGCTGGGGCTGCCCCTGGATCCCTGGCAGTGCCCGAGGCCAGGCTGGAGCACTGGGATGGTGGGAAGTGTCAGGTTTGGGATGGGATTTAAGACCCCTTCAACCCAAAGCATTCCATGATTCCATGACCTAAAATTCCTGCGTGGGGAGTGCTCAGAGTTCCTCCCCTGGGAGCTGGAGGAGCCCCACTCTGGCACTGGGATTGTTCCCATTTTTTGCGACAGAGACCCTACATTTTTTTGCTCCCGTTTTTTGCAGGAAAGGGGGATTTTTAAAGCTGAGGAAAAGGTGGAACGTGCTGGGAAAATGCAGGCAAGTGTCTGGAGGGAGAGGAGAGTTTGGGAACAACAAATCCCTGGAGGTGTCCCAGGCTGTCCCATTTTGGAGCCTTTCCCTGTGGAGATGCTCCCATGGACACGGAGCTGGTGACGATTCCTGTGGGTCAGTGCTGATCATTCCGGGTTATTTTGGATATCTCTCCCACCCCCCATTATCAGGATAACCTGGAATTGGGAAGAACACTCCAAGGGTTTATTTTCCAA